TATTTAGGCTTTTTACAAGAGCTTTTTAGCATCGCTAAGACAGGGAGCAACCTTCTCATCAATATCCTCGCGCTCCAAGTTTTTCAGGTACTTCATTTAAGCCTTTTCCCTCGCATTTCCCCTTTAACACTCTTAAAGATAGCCCTCGTTAACCTCAATAACCTGCCATAGTTTTGTAGTGCCTGCCAATCTTCTGCTTTTATTTCTAAACTTTCTCCGCTAAACGCTTAGCAAGCTTCTTGTTTAACTTGGTATGCCGCTTGTGATATTACACACGAAAGCAAAGCATGCACACTATAAATAGTTCAGCACCATGTTTGAAGCTTCTCACCTTATAAAGTTTGAAGTAACACTATTACAGACACCGAAGTGTAATACTAGCCGACGATGGAATGCTGCCCGCAAAATGAAGGGTTTCTTTAGGTAAACAAGATGCCCGCTAGGCATTAAACTCGCATTGCTTGAGTCGAGCTAGGGCTATGACAAAAAAGACGCTTACTCAGCAGGGCCGGATTAACCATATGGCAGAAGCGGCATATGCCACGGGCCCCGCGGTTTTGGGGGCCCCGCGCTTTACTCAGTACAATTTTTTTTCGGTGCGTGGGACATGGAAAAAGGGCCACAAAGCTTCATGGCCACAAAATAAAATAAAGTGACTCCAAAAAGCGAGGCCCCATGAATAAATAAAAATGCCTTTAAAGCTTATATTAAGTTATCGGAGCAAAATAAATAACGCGAAGCCTTAGAAATCAAAAATCGAGGCCCAATTAGGCACCCCTACAACCAGATTCTCCAAAGAAAATTTTAGAATAATGGGAAAATTTAGAAATTCAAAACTTCAAGTAAACACAGAGCCACCTAGAGGGGTGGTCAAAGGGGGAGCCCGCGGGTTAGCCCTGAGCCCAGGGTTGTAGGGCTCCCCAAAAACCTACAAGAATAAAATTAAACTGCATGTTGTTGGAATATTTAGTCCTCTTTCAGAAAACGTCTTAGGTTGTTTATAGTTTAGGTAATGCAATATTATACTCGATTTTGCGGAAATCTTACCCCCAAAACGCAAGAAATCGCATTTGCTGCACTCTAAAACTCAAAATTTTCTTGGGGGAGGATGCCCCCAAACCCCCCTAAAACTGCTATAGCTATAGTATTTTCTACATCAATGTTCTGGTCATGCATTATCTCGCTACAGTAGCACAAATTGCTATTTTTTTGCAGATTTTACTCCCCTAACGAGAATTTTACCCGAGCCCCAAAAATTCTGTAGCCGGTGAGTAAAAGTTTTGATGCTTTACGGGATTGAGGGGCCCCGCACTGAAAAAATGCCACGGGCCCCGCGAAAGGTTAATCCGGCCCTGTTACTCAGGCGTGTGTTTGGACTTGCCATAGTTGTTCAGCTATGCAATGGAACGGGCGTGAAAATGGGGAGAGCATTGGATAAATTTAATTGCGCTGTGATCGCCTGCATCCCAATTCAAGTATAACTTTGGATTTCAGAACGCGGGTTAGCTTTGTGATCTTCGTAACTTGATAGATTATTGATTTTAATGACTCAGTAGTGCAGCATGCACGTTAGCTTAGCAGCCACGCCTGCGTAGCTCGTGGCTTGCAGGTCAGCGCACCTTATCGCACCTTGCGGGTCGCGAAATTCTCGACCATAAAAATATTAATAAGAACGCTTCCCATTTTAAGAACTCGCTTGCGCATTGCGCAATGCGAGTTAATTTGACCTATGCAACATGATATCGTAACGTAAAATTTTTGTCTTTACTTAAGATGTCGTCCTTAGGTAAAATAATGGAGAGCTTATAAGCACGGACTGTGTGTACTTGCCTCTCCTCGTACGGGACCGTGTCTTAATCATTACCGCATAGTGGTCCATGGACTGAATTAGTGCATCTTACGTGCCTATATAGTAAGACTTATGAGTATAACTTATACAGAGATAAGTGAGAGATTGCGCTCGTATATTTCTAAAGTTTTGTGTATCACGACTTTATCACCATCGACTTGACTTTATCAAAAAATTAAAGTATACATACGTTGTATACGATGTGGTATGACAACTGCCTAAATAGACAAAACACTTCTCGACGTTTCGACCTGAGGGCCTACGTCAGGAGAGTTATTATTTTTATTATTATTATTGAAAAATTACACATCAAATAGCTATTCTAAAAAGCTAAATTGCGATGCATATTACAATATTATGCTAAATTTCGATGCATATCGCAAACCTACTATAAGCTAAGTATTGCAGTTAAAATTTGTCCTATCATATCTTATATCTATAAAAATTGGTATATCATATATTAAGATCGTAACGTATTAAAAAGTTATTATATCTATAAAAATTGATTTAGAATTTTATATCATATATTAAGAGAATTATTAAAAAGTTCGATTGAGGAAAGTATGAAAAAAAGCCCTCAGGTCGAAACGTCGAGAAGTGTTCTGTGTATTTAGGCAGTTGTTAAACCACATTTGATGCTAAGTTGTTTGAAGACGCTGCCACGCTGCTCCTTGGTTATATTGGAATTATTTGGAAGTTGGAACTTATCTACGTTGTATACGGATATAAGCAGATCATGCAGAGCCGAGTAGCTTTTATTGTAGCTATGCGTAGCCAGTTAACCTCATTGAGACCTCGAATTTAATTTCTTCTGTGCTATAACATAGGTTAAATCAGTTAACTTACCTTTCAGTATGGTAGTATTAATATAATTCTTCTCCTTTCTCTGCAGTGTCTGTCGTGTAAAATATCTTGCTTACGCGCTTATTTCGCAGCAGCAGTTTGTTTGTTCAGTAATCAGTTGATTGATGAAATACCGTTCTTGCGTCATCTATAAACTAGATATAATTGGTTCAGTTGGTATGCATAGTCACTAGTCAGTCTTGAACGAGCAGTGTTTGACACAGCTACATAGAAGTTGAAACGTTTCAGTTCTAACTGTAAAAGCGTTGTTACTTGTTATTGTGCTCGCATGAATAAATGTTTTGATGAGACGAGTTGCATGCATGTGTGTTATCGATGTGTTATAGACTTATAGCAATATCTCAATATCTCAATATCTAGTTAGAACAGCATTGCTACGTAATCGCGACAATAATAGCACAAAAAGAGCCGGAAGAAGCAGTTTAGGGTGCGGCAAATTTTCAGAATGGGCCACATTCTTTAAACCTTAGCAACCATAGAGGAAACTTAAACTTATACAAGTACACCCGGACTTTCAGATCGTATAGTATTATTACATTGCCATCGTAATTATGGCGTAGCCTAAAGATCAAAATTAAGATCATGCAATTGGTGTAATTATAATGCAAATGGTAATGAATTAGTACCCCGAGGCGGTGCGGAGCACCGTGAGTGGGTATTACTAATTCCGCTGGGAGATTAAATACACCCGGGTATTTTGACAGAACATAGCGGTATTGTCACAGGACATTATACAACGAGTGAGTCTTCTGGTATAATGTCTATTCTGTGATATTGTCCAAATTCTATGTCATGGACAGTCGACGTCAAACTTGTACCCAGGGTCTTCTGTGTTCACGGGGCGCGGAACTACGCGACGAAGACCCTGGTCGGGGCTGATGACGTCACAGCATGGGAATCTATCGCCTCAGGGGGTGTAAGAAAAGATATCATATTACATGCTTCCACTTTCCATGCTTTCATTTCATCTTCGTCGCGTAGTTCCGCGCCCTGTGAACACAGAAGACCCTGGGTACGAGGTTGGGTCGACGTTGGATAGTTTTGTGTATTGTTTTGTGTAATGGTTTTGTGTTTGGTGTTGTTGGGAAGTTGACTTATTCATTAATTAGTGACATATGCATTATATATATTAGCGTTAATTAAACTTTTAATTGCAGAACTTTTTTAGCAGACATTGCGACATATGCGCGAGTAATGTGAACAAGGTAAAATAACAGCTGATTGACAAGATAAGTATAGGAGTGGGATTAGAGTGAGGGCAGAGTAGTGCGAGACAGCGCGGAGAGTAGACGAACAGCCTGTGAAGGGAAATCGCGAATAGAAACCTAAAAAAAACAGAATTTATGACTGATGATAATTATTGATCGGGGAATGAATTCCCTATAGTGCATTGTTTTGTGTATTATTGAGCTTGGTATGTTTTGCAAAGATAAAACCGACTACGAAAAGCTATCACACATTGTTTTAAATAATATATAGATATAGCACTTTAATTTGGGGGCGTTATCTCGACTTTATTTCATAGTCATATTCAAACCAGTTTACAATTTTTTCTTATGCTGTAAATTGTTTGTTTTAATCATTACTAGAAATACACATGCATGCAGCAACCTCTCGCCATTTCAAACGAAACAAATAATTTCCTAAGCCAGCCAGACCTAATCTTTTATTATGAAATGACTTAAATGAGTCGACATATGATGTTTTTAATGTTCGGAAACAAAGGTAGTCCTAAAACTAAAAGAAAAATGAGAAGCTAGTCATGCCAGCTTTTCAACACGGAAAAATGCTCGTGTTTACGGCCGTCAAGGAAAACTTGTGAAGAAAAATTTGTCAATTTTTTCGCGTACACACGAGCAAGTAAAACTTGCAAGTGAACTGGTCAAGTGAACTGGACAAGGAAAACCTGTCCGTCTGTACGAGGCTTTAGGAGTTAGGATGGGTAACTCGACATCGCGATCGTCCGCTTCTACATTGTTCATGGTTATCTCAATATCTAGTTCTACCTCTTTTAGCTGCGCCTATCCCAAAATTCCATTGCCGATCGACAGACTTTCGAAATACACTCTTGAGTACTCCGATCAGACGATCGAACTGTTCTCCCAATCAAGGGGCACGACATTTTGGATAGCAATACAGGGTGTCTCAAAAAAAACGCAACCACTTAAATATGCAGAACATTAATACAGCTCTAAAGCGCAATAGATAAGCACCTCTGGGAATTGAAAATGGCTCTTAATCCTTCATTTACAATGCTAAAAGTCATTTTAGCTGAACTATGGTGCAAACCCGAACAATATTAATATTCTTGTATATTCTTGCATATTCTTGCGTTTTTTTTTGAGACACCCTGAAGATCATGAGATGATACACCTCATTAAGCCTCATTATCATCTCATTATCTATTGTTTGAATTGCATTCGACGCGACCAAAATGCGACGTTTAACCTAGGATTATAGCTAGGATCGATGTTATGCTGATGACTCAACTCAATACTATTTTTGGATCAAAATCAAAATCGAATACACACATTCATGCAGACAATGATTTAAATTTTTTAGACTAAAAATAGGGTCATTTGCGCTATGATGAGCCAAACATAAAATGTAAGAAAATCCCTTGTCGAAGCGCTGGTTACTTGTCGTTTGAGAAATCCTTCCGGGTCCATTAAGAAATCACAATGCTTTTCACGGATCTTTTTTCGCACCGTCGTCTGAGAGAAACTATCCATGTCTAGGAATTCTTCTTTGTCATTGCTATATCGAGGCCATGTTGGTAAACTATCCACATTGCCAACTACAATCGGTAATCGTGTTGTGCCTGAATTTGGGTTGCTGTAATTGCAAGAGAAACTGAAATTTCATTGTGTTATTGTTCAAAGTGCATTGAAAAAGTAAGAGTTATTCAAATGGCACTGATTTTTAAAACACATGCATGCACATCAACGTTCTTCCATCCTGCAAAAGTGCAATGTACTGCGGTGGCACCGGGACGCACACACATATAGCATAGGCGCGGCTAAGATTTGTTCCTGTGTATTAATTTTAATTATTTTTGGCCTTTGTATATGAGTAGATATATTATGCATGATAAGCAGGTACGCCATGCTCAGCAAAGTAAACTCAATTATACAGGGTGTATCAAAAAAATGTCCCAAATGTAAAATTTTCGTTTTTCCGGATATTTTGCAGAATTTGCCAACTTCATTTGGGACATTTTTTTTGATACACCCTGTTGTTCACCACTGTCCCTTGCGTGTAAATATATATGATCAATTCCATCCAGCCGGTTAGCCTATAGATGTATCATAAGTGCTAAACACGTGCTTTATATTGCTCCAAACGACTGTGATATATTATAACATACCCGGTTTTAGCAAAGTTTGTCCAGTACAGTATCATCCTCATAGCGAGCGTTTGATCGTCAGGCCGGAACAGCGTGTTATTAACCGGTTCACCAAAGACTGACTAAAATGAACGTAAACAAAAATGCATGTCCGTATGTGGTACGCTGATTACCATGCAGAACTATTGTATTGGAAACAAGGGCATGCATACTGTCTTTTAATAGACATGTTTACTATAGAAAGTTAGCTTTTTTGGAATGCTAGAGTGTTCTATTTTCAGGGCTGTAGCTATATATAGGCTTAATTAGGGGGTTATTCATATATATTCATGTTCGAAAACTATGATTTAACTATCGCTATCGAAGAAATCAGTCAGGCGTAGAACAATAATACAATATATCAATATTTCTCCCCCCCGCCAAATTAACTGATTTGCATGATCAAAATGCTTCATATTTTCAAATTGTCAACGGATTAAAAGGGATACGGCAATGAAAATGATCTCTGTCTATTTTAAAAGAACCTATGATTATTTACAAAATTCGTTTACGGATTTTTGTTCCTGCACTTTGTTACTTCTCAAGATATTTTCGGATGAAATTATCTTCCATCCGCCATTTTGGATATGCATATTCTTGGTCTGATATGCGTTACGTCATAAGCTAGGTAAAAATTTGTTTTGTAACTTTAAATTAACGATCCAATGAAGTGATAGTTTCATGGTATTACAACCGCACGTATATCTCAAATTATAACGTTTGAATTGTAAAAGTTCTAAACTAAAGCGTAAACATGTAGTTGTTATTTTTTAAGCGTTAACCCTGCTTTTGACGTCACGTAATTAGATCTCATTATAAAACAAGATGGCGGATATATCGCGATAGTCGATGTTTTTCATCGCCAATATCTTGCGAAGTAAGGAAGATAAACAAATTTTGTAAACAGGCTTTATGAGCAGCGTAAATTTTCTTTTCAACAAAACAGAAATATTTTTTATCGCCATATCCCTTTAAGGTTTTGGTCAAGGTCGGTTGTTCCTGACAGATTTACCTTTTACGAATTTCATTTATGCAAAAGAACCAAAGAATCCTTTGGTCTTTTGAAACCTGGGTTAAATTATTGCATCGGCTTGAGGCAACCAATTCAAATTAAGCTTAACGCATGCATGCATGTTTCTATGCCGTATCCGCATAGGAAAAATTAAGCGAGCGAAATAGAAGATAGCATTTTCAAGAGTAATGCATGCTTACCACAACATCAAGTCCATGAGCTGAAAATCCAAACACTCCATAAGGGTACAAGTACGTCACGTATTTTACCAATGGGGTATGAGAATATTGAAATACGTACACATGTGTAGTATTCATGATTTTGGATCTTAGTTTAGCCTCGTGTCTGCTGGCACAAATAAACGATTCGTCTGTTCCAAATGCTACACTCGGTTTCAAAGCCTCTAGAAAGGAAGGGATACACTTCGGCTTGTAAAGTTCTCTCGCTTTCTCGTACACCGCCTCTGATGCATTTTTAAAATGTGCTTTTAATTTGTGTTCGAACCAATTCAAATAGTCGCTAATGTTCTTGGACGTTTTCAATAGCTCTTGATCATTTAGAAACGCTTCATCTTTGGTGAAGGAAAGTATTACATCTTGCTTTTTAACGTTTCCACTTTCCCATATTTTTTTTGGCTGATCAGTTATAAATTCTTTATCGACAATAGGACCGGTCCATACTGTCCAAAAATCCTTGCGATTGGAGATTTTCTTCCATGTGTCTACGCTCACATTTCGGAGACATTCGATTAAATTATCATCATCGCTGCATTTAACCTTCTCCAGAAACCATCGTAAACCGCCTTTGGTTTGAGTATCAGTCATAATCGCCCAAGGCATAAGCATGTTTCCGCTTTGGAAAATAGCTTTATCAAAATATTCCCAGCTTCCTTTAGATACGGTATGCGCCGAGACGCTGGCACCTCCAGCACTCTCACCAAAGAGGGTGATTGAATTTGAATTCCCCCAAAATATTCGATATTATCTTTCACCCATTTCAACGCCAAACGTTGGTCGTATAGACCGAGATTACCTGAAATTAATAAGATATTCTCTACAAACTTCGTTTTAAAAGAATATCATGAGGTTTGACGATCGAGCGTTACACTGGCATGCACAAGTCAGGTCATGAACAAATAGATAAAAGTAAAGTGAAAAGGGTACGTGCGACAGGTCTCCAATATTACCTAGTGTATAAAATTTGCTTCTTATCTAAAATGTGCTTCTATATAAAATAATAAAATATAAAAGTACTTGTCTTATATAAAATCATTTGCGCTTACGTATTTGCGTCGCTTCCTGTATGCTTTGCTAAAACTGAAACATCTTTAAAACCTGGTAGTTTCGTGCGAATTTTTACTCGCTTTCTCAAGGCTAGTTTCCAGTCAGGAAAATTCTCCTTTGGATCGGACTGGACAGAAAAGGTTTCCTTTGTATAAACGCCGCCTGAGAACTCACCGACAAAGAAAATTTCCTGTCCGTTCCGATCCAAAGTAGATTTTTCCTGACTGGAAACTAGCCTTAAGCCTGATAAATTTTTACCACTTTAATTGATTCAAGGCGAACGGTTCACTCTAACTTGGCGTTTTTGTTTCTGGGAACATTTGTTTGCAGGTTTTGGTTTTTTATACCTTTTGGTAACATTTTTTTTTAGTATCTGTTTTCAATTTATCTAATAACTGCGCTGGCCTCTTAGCTAGCTAGTTTATTCATCTAGATCTACGATTTCAGGCCTTGCATGCGCATGATGTCACTAAACTTATAAACCACTTTGTTGCAAATAACTTGTATTAAAAATTTGAAAAATATACTTGCTACTACGGTTAAACGCATTATATAAAATAATCAATCATAATCAAATAATTTTCTCTTCTGCATGCATGCAACTTGATTTCAACCCATTCAAGTGCATACATGCATGGAATGGTTTTGACGTACGTGGACGTAATATTGCCAATGGCGTAGCCAGCCTGACAATTTAGTCATGCTATGATAATATTTTGGTGTTCATTGACTGTGAAAACAATGATTGTAATGATTAATAATTCTAATGACTTTAAGCATGACCAAATTGCCAGGCTGGCTACGCCACTGAATGTTGCTGAATTTGAATGTTCTTTCTTATGGCATTGTACGGAACATGATTTTAAGGTCCAAGAAAAATGATTGATGACGAACCTTTGATTCGGTCATCTCCAGTTGCAAGGAACCCCAGAGCTGTAAGTCGGTAATTGATAGTAACCAGAATAACACCGCCAACGGCGACAAAATTTGTACCAGGATACTCGCCTGAGCTGCCGTGACGAAACGCTCCACCGTGAATCCAAACCTGAGAGGTGCAGAATCGTACATCTGAATGCATTTTCTCTTTCCAAAGGGGGTCACAGTGAATTTTAGCACTGTTTCGAGAAACGTAATATATGCATATTCATATAGAAAAGCAGAATTAACAACCAGCATTAGTCTTTTACGGCCCGGTCAGGAGATGAATTAAATTCAAATAAACGACGACTTCCTTAATGATGGAACATGCACGACTCAATTATAGACGAGGAAATTAACCTTTCTCACGATGACGTTTTTTCAATTTTCTCAAAAGTGTTTAAAAAATTATTTTTTAGAATCAACAGACCATTTGAAGAATAATTCCAGTCTAGAATTAAAGACAGTCGCCGTTACGAAGTCATACGCTCATGGTTTTGCTAAAAAGTACCCCAAAAATGGCGGCATATTCGTCATCGTGAGAAAGGCTGATTAGTTAATTGCTAATATGTGCGACATAATATAGAAGAGGTAATCAGCTATACTACTGTCCAGAATTAACCTAACAAAAACCGCGGTTAACCTAGGTCAGACATCGCTCTGATCAACCTCGATCTGACCTCGGTTCAACTGCGATGAGACGAAGGTTAAACCTCGGCCTAACTCGATCAGATTAACCCAGACAAAACGGGGTGATATAAATTATTTGATGGATGATGGATCCTATTCAGTATGACTTTATTATCGTGCTATTCAATGACAATGGATTATTTTATTGTCATATTTGACTGCATTGCAACACAAGCCATGATGGCTTTACGAAAGGATTCCCTCTTCAGGACCATCTTTACAGTGTCTCGAAAAAAATTAGGAACAGGGCCTAAAAACAGAGAAAATCTTACCATAACACTAGCATTCTTAGGACGTGGAAATGGTGTCCAAACATTGAGAATTAAGCAATCTTCGGTGAGTGTTAGACCTGGCCTTTCTGGTTGAATACATGCGGTTATATCTTCAGTGGTGTTTAAGGTGCCTAGAATGTAAGTATTTTTATAAACATATTGTACTAAAAATACTCTGAGTGCCGACTGACACTAAAAAATTAATATATTTTGGCGAATATATCAGGGAACAATAATTTTATTGCCGTTCGGCTTGAGAATTGCGTCCGCTCGAAATTGCAATAATTATTGCGGTTGCTACCAAAAAGTACAATACAAATTAAGAATCCATTTATAAAAGCACAAAATATTATTGGTTAATAAAGATCCTGCGCAGTGTAGATACGTATATAGCTATAACCGTTATTTATTATTCCTACGACTTTATATTCAGATACATGCAGATTCTGCGTAGGGTATACAATAAAAAATGGCTTTCAGAATTGTTTTGTGAAGATCACATGCACCTGTGAATTATTTTTATAAACACGTATTTAATTTCAGCTGAGTTTGAGAAATCAGTAATTGCATGGTCTAGCCAATTCAATTCGAGAAAAGAGTATATATTCATTTATTAAAAGCCCTTATTTCTTTTAAAAAACTTTTTATTAAAAAAACCTACTTAAGATAAATACTATACCGTTCCAAGGCTTTTTAGGTTGAGGTTTTTGAAACCTTAGTTCACCAACTGGAGGTTCGGCGTACGGAATATTAAGGAACTTTTGCACATTGACTTCGGCTAAACTTGACGACTGGATCTTGCCTCGTATTAAACCTGAATCGGTTTGGATCACTGCAAAATACAAAAATGTATAAAAAATACTAAATTCTGAGAAGCTGAAACAATCATGGAGCCTGACAGTTTCACTTCGAATTTCTGAGGCCTCGGTCAAGCGTCGCTCTTTTCGTGCACCGAACCTAATGAAAACACTAATCCTGATTACGTTTAATTCCGCGACATTCTATCTGCATTTGATGTTGAAATACCGGTACGCCCTTTCTCCATTCGTTATCCTCTAAAGTCTGAACTGAAAAGTCTTCTATACCATACCATTTAGTTTAGCTCACCGGATGAAAAATTTAAAAATAATGTAATTAACGAACGAAAAACTCGTTAAAAGCAGGTTTTCATATGATTTTTGGTAATGACATCCGAGATATGAAAAACGAATTTCAACTATAATTACAACAAATTACGACATAGAATTACCACGAATTATGTCACATCAAAACCAGCCTTAACCGAACAAGCCCTCGTTAGCGCTCGTAAACACACAGAGCCTTATAATACATATAGGTTCAAAATTGTTAACTCTCATGCATGCTACCGCGCAAGTTAACTAATAAACCTTACAAAACTTCATGCATGATCTAAAAATCATTCGGTAAACTTATCGGAGACATACAAATTACATACCCTCTCCTTGGTTAGCTGATATTAGGAAAGGCTCGAAGAGAAGAAAAATTACAATGACCAAAAACATCTCTTTATACTCCTATATATATCAAAGAAATATCCTATAATTATTCGGAGTACAATATATCGCCGAATACAATACACTTACATTTTAGGGCGCTTCCCACTTAAATAGCTGCCAAAATGGTCAGACCACTCTGAACTGAAGTAGAGTATTTCATTAGGAATATAGCGGTGAAACTGCATTTCCCGTGCTTGGCAGATGTAAATAACGATAAACGTGAATGCAGAATAAAACACTCTAAAGTACCAGTAATCTGTCGGTACTGAAATACAACAGGACGGGCCCGTCTGGCCGTTTTTACTCTATAAAGGAAAGCGCCCTTATGTATATATTTACACAATGCATGGGTCATATTACTATTAATCGTCGAGTCGCTTCAAGCACGTTTATACTTTCTATTTTAGCTGTCTTTCCTCCAATAAAAACCAAGGCAATAAAGGTGAGTACAAGTTAAATGTTGTGCATTCATAATTAGAAGGAATCCTAGTGCTGTGAATCGAGTTTAATGATGTAAATCCAACAAAATCGAACGTTAACAAATATTTATCACTGAGTGTTGCAATATATTTTGCACAGTCACGATCGACGTGCAAACACTCCTGATCGCGGACAACTTCAACGTGCAACTTTGACCACAGCTTTAACGATTAATATTTAAGAACGAAATCATTCAATTGCCTCACCTGTTACAAAATCTAACAGCTTAAAAGTTCAAACCATTCATTTGTCACACGATCAATAGGGCAAGTTGGTTATTCGCGCCAATCTTATTTATAATGATATGTGTAATGTGATATTTTTATGGTAATGCCGTGTGCAAACAGCGTGTGAATGGACCTTTCTTATAATGACGTCAAACCCGAGAAGTCTGATGTCACACGAAATTTGATTTGCTCCACAAAACCATCGAGCCAATCAAACTTCGTATAACATCAAACTTTCCGCGTTTGACGTCAGTATGAAAAAGGTCTATTTGCAGCCCGACATGCATGCATACCCATGTAGCTATGTCCATCTGGCTGTCTTTTTTTTCTCGAGGAACGAGTGTCAAGCGTTTAAAGTCAAAGTAAAGCACTGTCAATTGCACATTTTAGATAATCATCACGAATCTAATTGTGGCCATCATAATCTTATTCTTCGCCATTATTCTGTTAGTGTAGCTACATACGCCTCATTGGCGTAATAGGCCTAAATAATGATGATGATGTAGCTACATATATTGTATATAGGAGGGTGTTGTCAACTATTACGCGTCTGGTGCGCAAGTACTTTTCCAACTGTTAACGTCCTTGTACGACCGTTTAAGTCTTTAGTGTTATATGTTAACTTCCCCTCAGTATGATTACAAACATGACATTAACCATGCCTAAGAATTTTTTTACAAAGTACAATACCTCTAGTCTAAAGGTACTTTCTGAATTCCCAATAATACTGCCATATTCTGAGCCATAGTATACTGTAGTTCGAACAGTCTGAACAAGAATGTTGATGTTTATATTCCGATGATTATCTGCGAGATGATTTTCAAAAGAGTCTCTATCTCTATCTCTATATCTCTTCGTGCCATAAGGCACATAAGGCTTTGACATTCTCTTTCCATCCACTTCGGTTTGCTGCTAAAGCTCTGACAGTCGTCCATGATTTCCACCCAGCTACTCGTCTTTCGTCTTCAACCATTCTCCTCCATGTTGTTTTTGGTCGACCTGGTCTTCTCCTTCCCTCTGGCCTCCACTCCAATGCCGTGACGCAGTGCTCCCCTCTGTTCTTTCTCATTATATGCCCAATCCAATTCCATCTTCGGCGTCTGATCTCATCACTTGTTCTGTTCACTCCTGTGGTCTTCTGGATTTTTTGGTGTGAGATGGTCTGTGGCCATCTTATTCTCAGTATGCGTTTTATGCGTTTGTATTGGAAAGCATCTAGCTTCTTTGCTTCTGTTTTCGTGAGTTTCCAAGCTTCGCAGCCATACATCAAAACTGCTCTGACAATTGTTCTAAACAACTGAACCTTCGTTTTCCTACTAATCTCACTACTGTCCCAAATTCGTCGCAGCCTGTAGAAAGTTTGTCTTTGGTCGCCCCGCCTTCTTTGTCCAACAGTGCACCTAGGTACAAGAACTCTTCAACGTCATCTATCTGCTCATCATTTCCTTTTATTCTTTGGTCGTTTCTGGCGTTTATTCGCATAACTTTTGACTTCTTTGCGTTGATCTTAAGTCCTACTCTTTTCAAAAGAGTATATGCAATAAACTCACTTCGTCGAACGAAGTTCGTTCTTGTAGTATACACGAAGCTACTTTTTTCAATTGTATCGCTAATCCTTAAAACATTGATGACTTGCTTGAGTTAAGCCGAGATCCATGTACAGAGGCAAATTCCGTCACGGAAGTTGTAAAACTTCCTTTTTCGTGTCTACCTGCTATCTGATATTTTCCGTATGTACCTTCGAGAAAAGTATAAACTAGATTAAATAACCGTACCATAACAATAAAAGATCTCGCAGTCTAGTGGTGAAGGCAATGGTCTTCCAAGTGGTAAGTTGATGTTTCGGATCTAAGCTTAACTCTTTTTCTACACGACCTTCGACTAAGAAAAGTATAAAGTAAATTAAATAACCATAGCTGTTCAGGGCAAGATCTCGTAGTCTAGTGGTGAGGACCATGGTCTCACAAGTGTTAAGCCGATGGTTCCAACCTAAGCTTAATTCTTTTTCGTTATGACCTTTGAGAAAAGGATAAAGTAAATGAAATAACCATAGCCGTTCAGCAAAAAAACTCGTAGTCTAGCGGTGAGACAGCGTCTTCCAAGTGGTAAGTTGATAGTTCGAATCTGGTCTTAACTCTTTCTCCTTAATGACCTTCGGGAAAAGTATAAAGTAAATGAAATAAGTCTAGTGGTGAAGACAATGATCTTCCAAGTGGCAAGTTAATGGTTCGAATCTGGTCTTAACTCTTTTTCCTTATGACCTTCGAGAAAAGTATAAAGTAAATTAAATAACCATAGTCGTCCAGCACAAGACCTTGTAGTCTTGTGGTGAAGACAATGGTCTTCCAAGTTTCCCAGGTTGTAAGTAGACGGTTCGAATCTAAGCTGAACCTGAGCAAGTCAAACTAAACAAAAGTATGCCGATAAATGTAAGCGTTTGGGCAACTTTGAGAGAATAAGGAAATTAGTTCAGCTTGACAGCATTGCAAATACTTCGTTAACGAACCATTTCTTTACAAGTGGAAATCCAGCTTTGATTGATTTCATTGTATTGTAATAGGCTTTCAAATAACAAAAGCTTTCAATTTTTATGTCAATCATTCCGTGCTCAGAAGAAGAATTAATCATATTATTTAAAGATTTAAATAATATTTAAATAACAGGACAGGTCTGTCAGCCAATAGCTTGGCTTCATTCTTCATCGCAAGGCGCACTGAAGCAGGCAATGTCCAGCTCAGGTTCAAATTTAAAGCAAGATTATTCGTAGATTACTGGATAAAAATAAGCCAAATTAACATAATCTTTGTTTCCCCAGTTAAAACAAACAAAGGCCCGCTTATAACAATGTTGGGTTAATTTATTAGTCATATACCAATAATACCATGCAACCTGTTTGAGGCTTCTTTTGGGCGCTGGTCTTCAAAGCATAAAGACAAGTCACTTCAAATGCTCAAAAAACGATGGCTGGATTGCTGTTCCTGTAAGGGAGCTTCACTTTAAAAGTTTCGCCACGCTCCCCTCCTCAATCATATAGGGTACCTATGAGTACTGTTCGGGTGTAATTCACCCTCCTGCATTATATTATATACAGTTTTTATTCTTTAATCTTCCCCATATGTTAAAAATTGGTTTCTTATTCTTATTTTAAATTCTATTTCAGGTTGATAAAATATAAATCACCCGCCTCTGTGGAGCTATGATCGACGCTAAACGACGCCAAAACGACGCTAAACGACGCCAAAACGACGCCAAACGACGCCAAGACGACGCTAAAACCACGCCAAAACGACACAATACGATACGACGTCGAACAGCAGCGTAAATTGGCGATGTTCCCCGACATCGTTGAAGGTTAGAGTAGCCTGGTGGTCAAAAAATGTGCATGCTAGAGTTAGGATGTGATTTCGCACGAAAAATGCATGGTCTACGAGCAATTCTCCTGCAAAGCAGAAGTTCATTGCTCGTCTTAAAGGGTCGCGATGTTCTTTAAACCATATAGTTATTCTGTTACCTAGGTTCTGGCCACCAGGAACATAGCTAATGCATGATGCGTGTATAAATTGATTTGCATGTGAGTAAATAAATTCGGCCATAGGATTCGGCTTTGCGCTTAAGGGCTACGCGCTGCGCTTAGGGCTACGCGCTAAGGTTTAAGTTGACAAAGTTGCATGTTCAAACTAGGATTATATGTCACAACTTTAAAACATCATATACGTCATTTCATATACGTCATTTCATATACGTCATTTTCGTCATTTCATATACGAAATGGCTTAAAACGCCAGACACACGAACATTAATCATGCACAGCCTCAAATGGCAAAAATAATCCCATAGGTTCTTGTTCCATCTCTCGGAACGCTATTAGTTAATTTACGGCTACGAATGTAGATTTTAATATTATAAAAGAAACACTGTTTTGCACAATATATACGCATATACAATTATAGCCCTAAATGGCAAACATAATCCCATGCATAGGTTCTTACCTTGTTCCATCTCTCGGAACGCTATTCTTGGGTGATTTACGGCTACGAATGTAAACTGTAATACTATAAGAGAAACACTATTTTGTACAGTACACGCATACAAATTATAGCCTCAAATGGCAAACATAATCCCATAGGTTCTTTCTTGCTTCCATCTGTCTCTCTCGGCTCTTGTCCTATTGAAATAGTCTTATCCGGCCATATGCGGCTTTCGGAAATATAGATTGTAAAATTATGAGTTGTAAATATACTATCATTTAACATGTCTTACCATATTTTGTAATTGATAAATACTGTAGTACGAATGTATATAGTTAAAACATATTACCATACTTAGTTGTTTACATACAATTATACATATAACACATGAACAAACAGTTATGCAAAAACTGTGCAAACAGCCTCTAATGGCAGACATAATCCAATAGGCTTCTAGGTTCTCCCTCTTTTCTCTTGTTTATCAACCAGACTGATTTTCAGAAATATTCAAAGCACATACTGTCTTCCTAAAAATCTGAAATACATCAAACTATACAATCTGGTTAACGCACACTTACTAACAAAATTTATACACATGAAAAATAAAACATCCTCTTAATGAATGTGAATTGATACTTCAAATGGGGAGGGAGCGTCATTCTTACTTTAGTAAAAACAGATTAAGAGACAACATGGGCAGTGGCATTGTAACTTAATTATTTTTCCAAGGTCTCTGTGAGATTTCCAATCACTTTGCATCGTTGAGCAGTGCTTATGGAAAGTAAGGCGCCACTTTTTGTCTGTACTGTTTAACCTTGCTGAGTAGTTCGAAGTGTTAGCAGGTATCTTGGGATATCTAATAAAGTTGCAGTGTTATTTTCATCGCTGTTCCTATAAGGGCAGCTTGCTTTGGCGATATGCCTTGGCTCTAAAAGTGTTTTATCAGTTTCTCAGACAAAAGATTTCTACTCAGTGCTGTTTCTTTAAAGGTCAGCTTGCTTTGGCTAAGTCTTATTAATTTGGTCATATTTTTCACCTCTAAAAATTAAGAAATTTTTAAAAGAATGTAAGAGATTTGTACTCAGTACTACCTTTCACTTCGGCCGCCTTCCTGGCTATATGTCTAGCCTCCAAAATGTAGTCAATTTGTCAATAAAATTTTTTTTTCAAATTCTGTTTCTATAAGAGCAGTGTGCTCTGGCTTTATGCCTTAGCTCAAAAAATGTACAGTCAATTTTTCAGGAAAAATTTTCTTTTTCTGCTTTTTCCATACACAGGGCAGTTTGCTTCAGCTATATGCCGAAGTTTTCAAAATGTTCATGAAACATCTTAACCAAATAAATCCTTGAAATAATAAAGCTACAAAGTTTAAAAACTAAAAACCGTTAGGAGAACACTGCCTATGATTTGTCAGAAGAATAGTTTTTGTTTTTCGACGAGGGCTTTGAAACACCCTGAATCAAAATGCTCTGAATTAAACTAAGTTATATACTCTGTCTTAGTTAGTCGGTTCTCAAACTGGATTGGGTATATAAGTCTTTGTAGAATAAAATATACACGACACTTATAGAATACAGCTATACACATAGATATACATGCATGTTTCACTGGTCAATACACCAACATAGTGTAAAAGACTTTCACACTTTCTATAAAGCATGCCAAACGTAAAGTGCACATCTTACACCTTCTTCATATGTAAATATTTTGCATCCCAATTGATATATTTGTACATTATTATTATATATGCAAGAGTGAAATAAAAGTAGAAAAATTATCCGTCTCCATGTCTCTTGATTTCAATAGTTAAATATACACACATGCTTTGTAACACATGACAATGCTTTAATTAAATCTAAAAAAAACTTGTGTACTTTGTGTTTTTTTCCGGCTTTCGGTGAGGGTTTTCCTCCAGGAACTCTGGTTTCCCTCGTAATAAAAACAGTGTCCGTGTGTTCGGAACCGCGTTTATGGTTGGTTTTCCATTCAAAATTTAACTTCTCCCCGGATTGATTTCCTAAAAGTAACAAAATGTCGTGTTAACTCCATTTCACGTTGATCTTAATAACTGCATTTGGTACAAAGTTAAAGGAATGTTTCCCAAAACAACAGGCATTTATTTTGTAGGTTAAGACTTCAAAGTGAACTAAAATTGATGGAATCTGACTGTGCACACGGGTTACTGGGTTCAATTCCCTGCACACTGTATTGCTTTCCTTCGGGGTAAACTGTTCTTCATCGGCAACAAAGCCAAGATCTATAATTATCAGCCATTTCCACCTAATTTCACGTGACAAGCTAAAGTGAAGATTTTGTCCCATTCCAAACTACAAGAAAAGCAGAATTTTGGAGACCGCAGAATTTCGGCGCAAGGCAGTTCACCAACAATAGTGGTCGAGTATTGTTAATCGTTGATGAGCATTTCATGTCCAATTCATGATAAAGAAGACGTGTGATGTTTAATGTTGTAATGAACACAGCTAATGAAGATGCAATTACAGACATTCCTCGGTGATAGGACAAGAATTTGACCATTAAAACATCGTTTACCATATCAAAATATTTGACATCATAACCAAAGCATGTTTTTATATCAACACGAAATATGCTTGCAAATTTACATTATTACATAGGACCAGAATTAGACCATTCAACCAGTGTGGTTATCCATGTCAAAATATTTGACATCATAACCAAAGCATGGTTTATATTGTTTATTGTTTGTATATAAGTACCAAATATGCTTGCAACTTCACATTGGACAAGCATTTGACCATTAAAACAGCGTGGTTATCCATGTCAAAAAATTTGACATCATAACCAAAGCATGGTTATATTGTTTAATGTTTGTATATGAACGCCAAACATGCTGGAAACTTTACATTGGACAAGCATTTGACCATTAAAACAGCGTGGTTATCCATTTCAAAATATTTGACATTATAACCAAAGCATGGTTATATTGTTTAATGTTTGTATATGAAAGCCAAACATGCTGGAAACTGTACATTGGACAAGCATTTGACCATTAAAACAGCGTGGTTATCCATTTCAAAATATTTGACATCATAACCAAGGCATGGTTATATTGTTTAATGTTTGTATATGAGCGCCAAACATGCTGGAAACTTTACATTGGACAAGCATTTGACCATTAAAACAGCGTGGTTATCCATTTCAAAATATTTGACATCATAACCAAAGCATGGTCATATTGTTTAATGTTTGTATACGAGCGCCAAACATGCTGGAAACTTTACATAGGACAAGCATTTGACCATTAAAACAGCGTTGTTATCCATGTCAAAATATTTGACATCATTAGCAAAGCATGGTTATATTGTTTAATGTTTGTTATGAGCGCCAAACATGCTGGAAACTTTACATAGGACAGGCATTTGACTATTAAAACAGCGTGGTTATCCATTTCAAAATATATGACATCATAACCAAAGCATGGTTATATTGTTTAATGTTTGTTATGAACGCCAAACATGTTGGAAACTTTACATAGGACAAGCATTTGACCATTAAAACAGCGTGTTTATCCATGTCAAAATATTTGACATCATAACCAAAGCATGGTTATAGTGTTTAATGTTTTTGCTGCGATTTTATATGCGATTTTTTATCGTTGGATAGATCTGAACGAGTGATTAGTTACATAGGACCAGAATTAGACCATTTAACCAACATCGTTATCCATTTCAAAATATTTGACATTATAACCAAACATTGGTTATATTGATTGTTTTTATTTGAGCACCAAATATGCTGGAAATTTTACATAGGACAAAAAATTTGACAATTAAAACAACGTGAGAAAAAGATGAATTCAATAACCATAGGCGTTCAGCACAAGACCTCGTGGTGAACTTTACATAGACCAGAATAGTTATTATACCACAAGCCTCACTCTTTGGATTTTGCTAATGCTTTCGTGTCCGAAATTTTTCAGAAGGGCACGCGTCATTGTACCCAATTCTGGCGCCATCCTGGTATGTGCAGGAACTTTGTACCCTCATGAAAAAGTTCTTACACACACCAGGATTGCGTGAGCAAGACACAAATTGAATACTAAAAGGGGTGAGCTTCTGGTATAATGTCTATTCTGTGATATATTGTTTAAAACCCAAAATGGTTTTCTATTGGTTAAAAACAGCGCAATTTCTAACCAATCGACGTGCGCGATTCGTAGCCATGATGAATCGAGCGTCTTGGAGTCAGCAAGGAAATCCCTAGAGAAGCAAGCTCAGAATCGCAAAGCTAAACAGTTAAGAACACACCATATTTTGGTTTCACACTAAACGAGCTTACGCCATTACCAAGAAACTTGGAATCTCAACCACTCCTAAACAAAGTCACCAAAATTCAAAATTTCCCACAACCTTTTAGGAATGTTTGGAAAAAGGCAATTTTATCCGAAACATCTGTTGCAGTGTTTCAAGACTCATTTTGGTGGATATTTTGCCAACTGTTTGAACCAAAACAATCCAAGGATGTGATATTTTCGCGTATTTCCCCTAGTTTTGTGGCACTTTTTTTCAATATCCCAACGGCTTACAAAGATCGATTTTTCCACTACTACCCCAATTGCCTAGCACAAGCTTTGTATGCTGGCTTCTGCAAGGCATTCCCAGATTCGTATAAAATATTTGGCAATCCTTTCAAAGCCACTTTGACTGACACCATCTTTGAGTGGATATCGGGTGTCCGTCCTCAGCGCATGATATGGGAGACCTGGCAACTAGAGGAATTGCATGGAACCAGCAGGATTTCAAAATTCCGAAGAAGCTAGAAAAACACTCATTCCAAAAACCTTGTCTTTCGACATTGATGGTATCTTAGAGAATGAGCGAGTATCCCCTTCTGAGAAGAGTAAAGCAAGATCCCCTTCCCCTGGACAAAGCTCTGAAACCTATAAGTCCCATCCTGCAGGAAGCGGTCCAGACTTTCACAAAGTCCAGTTCAATATACTAGGGCACAGCCCATTGGTCCTTCACTTTATGAGAGTAAAAGGGGTCAGGGAAACAGACTTGGAAAGCGTTAAAAAAGTCGTTGGTCGCACAGAGATAGCCCGGTTGGCTGAGCCCAGACCGACGTATGAAGATCTTATTAACGAGTTAAAAAGAAAGAGAGAAAAATTCACAATTGCTGAGTCAGCAATACCATCTTGTGCTTCAGATGTTTTTGGAAGAAAGCAAACATATCCAGAAACAAAAGCGTCAAGTCATTGCAAAGATCAATCAGATGCAAGACGAGTTAACAAGAAAATACAGTGACTTTAAAACATCGAAATAAAAAAATATACGATCTAGTTTTATACTCAGATTATTCTCAAAATGCAAAGTGTTGTTTTAAAATATTTAAATTATTAAAATGTTGGACTTTTTCTTGTCCCAATTTCTCATACTTATCACAGAAGACCACCTTTTATACAATAAAAATGTTTTGCTTAGGCTCATAAAGCATTTTAAATAGCAATTAAATAAACTCAACTAATTTCTCAAGGAAATAATCCTTTTAATTTCTTCTCATATTCTTCCTTATGCTCATTCTCTTTCTTATCTAATTCCTCAAGTTCCTTTTTAACTGTTTTCACCAAGGTGTTATCTAATTCCATAACACGTTCAAAATCCTACCTTGCTTCTGTGGTATTCCAGCAACAAACATGAGCTTTTGCTCTCCTGAATAGAGCTATCACATTATCTGGGTCAATACTAGTTAAGGGGCAGTTAAAGTCCTCTCACGCTTCGTTGAATCTCGGGTAACCGGGCTCATGTAAATAGCCCCCAAATCTCACGTTTGGGTAAATCTCGCATGACCTGACGCATGTACAGACATGCAGACAAACATGACCAAAAGCATGCCTCATTAACCTCTTTTCACTTGTCAGAGGTACCTTTTTAAGTTCTACTCATTTTCTTATATATACGACCAGTGTGACCATATATGCAAGGTGCATGATGATGGGGCTCTTGAGCTTTAGGGGCTCCTGAAATATTTTAACAAAATATGATAGCACATGGAAATAACACCACAGACAAATAGCTAGCTACCCGTTGCTGGTTTTCTTACCAATGAATTAGAGTTTATGTTTATGTTTATTCTGTGGTTTATTCCGTGTCAAAATATGTAACTGAAGATAGAGATTGTGCATAGTAAGAGTCTTAATCTTTTAGCGGAACAATGGGGGACAACAAGTGAACTATTGACGGGGGTCCACAACAGTCGCTTTACGTCACTTCTCAAATATACAGTTAGACTGTCCTGATCTAAATGTGGTATTCATTAAAATTAGGTGGACCTGCAAAGAAGTAACCAGATCTGGTCGCACTTTGTACAACCTGAGTTAGCCGAAAATTACCCATGTGGCGTAGCTATATAGGATTTAGTTCCCTTTTGCAAATTTAAGTTATAATGATTGAATTTCTTTGAAAGTTGGTTGTTTCACAATTATTAATGCATGAACACCAAAATATTAGCATAGCGAAAAAAATCGACTGCCGAGTATTACCTTTACAATACCCCACTTGCATCCACTGCATTAAGCTTCAGGGCTCAGTTATAAAGAACTAGTTAAGTCTTAACTGTAATTAATAGGGGCAGAATTGGCCAATCAGAGTCGTGTATTTCGGAGTTAACTATAGGATTTGACTAGCTATGCAAATTGTGGTTAAAGAATTTAATACAACTGGCACCAGAATGGATGATGAGTTCGTCAATACCTTGGTACACAATGCAGCCTCGTCCCCGGCGCGTGTTTTATTAATCGGTGTTTTATTAATATTAATCGCGTAGTAATGTTTGTCCGCGGGAGGACACGCACGAAGCGACAGCGTGGGGGAGAACGCGCCTGGCAGAAAATGTTTCGAAAAGTGAAATTTGTGTCGAAAAGTGAAATTTGCATTGTTGATAATCTTTGATACTTTGAATAAGAACAGCATTACAGTATTAAATGGTTGAAGAACTTAACAAATCGTTTCAAAAAGTGAATATTGAAGGTAAATTCTTATATTTTCTGCAATCGCGCATAATACATCTTCGGATTCTTCGAATGTTTCTTCCGCCATCTTGAATACATTTTCTGCCAGGCGCGTTCTCCCCCACGCTGTCGCTTCGTGCGTGTCCTCCCGCGAGACAAACATTACTACGCGATTAATATTAATAAAACACCGATTAATAAAACACGCGCCGGGGACGAGGCTGTACACAATGTATATATACAGGAAATTAAGTAAAGAAAATACAATAAGAGAGCGAAGGGTGCTGATTTTTTTCGTCAGAAGCACTGATTTAGAATAGAACTAAAATTGATTAGATGTTCCATGTAAGCATATAGACTCAGCATCATCAGCCCCTCAATTGAGGATCGCAGCAGCTTTAACTATATGGTGTGAGCACCGAAGAAGTATTGATATATGCTTTTAGGCCCAGCATGGATAATAGAATCACTATCCATGGGCCCAGCAAAGCTTAACCTGTCTTTGAAGATCGAGGAACTACCCATAAAAAAAGCAAAAGCTTTATTATGTGTACACTTATATTACGTGTTAAAAATATTAATGCAGTTTATGCAGCAGATTGTTCCAAACATTTTTCACAGGCTTGAGGATTCTGAACCCCGAATTTAACAATAAAGCGTGCAGCAGATATAAAATGTATCACAGTAATTTATTTCTCCGCTACTTAATAATTGTCAGAAAATTAAACAGGACAAAATAGAAAGTTTGAGAGATATTTAAATCATTATTACACTGGCACAAATCACTACACATTTCTACACACAACAATAAACATAGCTAAATTTGCACATATTTGCGAAAAAAATGATAACAATACTTGTGTAAAGCTGATAAGTTCGTTCTTGCAGTTTATTTGCACGCTGGCCACCCGTAACAATAGCACCTTCCGCCCCAGCCGTACCTGTAGGAACATCTCCTGTTGTACTGACCAGCTCGTCTTGCTTGCCAATCCCGATGTCTCCAGTTATTATGCCAACAGTTGTGGCCACAAGTGAATAATACAGCCTCAATGACGCCGCTCGCGGCCAACAACATTACTAGAAAGTAAACTTTAGACACCATTGCGCTATCTATAACGCAGAAAAAAATGTTGGTCGGTTTGCGAGCAACTTTTAGCCTTTTACGAAGGATTTCAAGCGTCCAAAATACAATCTAAATTGTCTAAAATAACATGAATCTTGCATGCACAACACGAGCTCCAGTCAAAGTAATTACTTCACAATTGTTTGTAAGTCTTTTTGAAATTAGATCGTATAATTTATTCTGACTTACCCTGAATCCGCTACAGTTACTGATGCTCACCGTTAAATAATTGTTAACTCACACTTCTTGGATCAAACTTCTATAAAACACTGACAGGCAAATAGTTACTTATATATGTATGCTTGACTAATGAAAATTTTGTATGGTAATCTTTGAGTACTTTGTTATTACAATTTTCATCTCTACTTGCAAACAGATACTTCAAGTACTTAAAATTTTATATTTGACCTAATATCCGTTTTATTTTTTTTCCTGTGTGTTCACTTCCCCAGTCCACGACGGCAATCAGCCCTGTGGCAATCAGCGCTTTCGTTTTTTGATGAATTATATTTCCTCAAAAATGCCTTGAACACAGAAGGGAGAAATATTTATATCATCCTCTTCAAATATTCTTTGTCACGGTCTTCTAAAGCATTTTACCCCACAGTAAAAATCTGACATATTTAAGAACACTGAGAGCAATGGTATATACCTATGAATTATTTAACATGTGGCAATTTAAAAAAAACATTTCTATACTCATAGGAATCCCAATAAACATTTATGAAATAGCTAAAAAAAATTAGTCCGGTTGCTTTGTGAGTTCAGTGACGTCAGTGATCGCGAAGCAGAAAAGACATAGTTATTGAGAACGATGGAAACTCTTGTACTAATATACACATACATACATACGAAATTCACTAGCAAAATTTCGTATGAAAACAACGAGAATCCCTGAATATATCATAAATATATTTTAGATACTCGAACAACGTTATTCCATAAAAAATATTTTAAATAACAGATGAAAATTTACAAAAAATGTTCAAAACGTTTGCCTATTTGCCGAAAAATATCGTGGGACGATGCGGGACATGAAATCCCCCCGGATTCTCGACAAACACACGCCGTTTGTTTATTTTTTTGACCAATCAGACTCGTTTCTCAAACAATGTCGTTTGACAAAAGCATGTCGTTTTCGGCTCAAAAGGTCTAAGGAAATATAACTTTTTATCAAAGATTGATATAGTGGTTTCGAAGTCTTCGCCAGTTAATTATCTGTCGTAACAAGTAGTTTCCGGAGCCGCTCTTACTTACAGATGGCAAAAATAGACCACTTAAAAAGGGTTTCGTGCCCACGGCTTATAAGGGAAGTTCATTTAATCAAACATCCTATGTGTCTGATATTAACTTTATTGAGTAGAAGATTCGGCTACTCTTGAGTATTTAATATATTCCAAATCAGGCAACGAAATAGGTTTTTTAACATCCGCCGCCAACATACCAAAATAGATAAATAAAATTAAGGTGTTCGAGTCATTTTTCTCAGCTGTGTGCATTTGTAATAACAAACAAGTATATTGAATTCAGCTATGGGCTTCTGCAACAGCAAACATTCGCATGTAGGCATAACATGTAGGCATATATTATACAGGCCAATTTGAAGTAATTGTAACGCTCGGTGCTTTTAATTGAAATGCAAACCTTGTACCACAAAACCAGGGATTTGGGGTTATAAACAGAACGTGGACGACTTTTAAAACTTCTAAGGAGGTTTTCAATATTCCTCTAAGTAATTAATTGAATTTAAATAAAAAATGGATAACATGCATATATAGCTTTGAATGTTATTTTCATATACTTTCAAAATTACTTTGACTAATGCGAGTTTTCGTGCTAATACGATTAATGTTTTTCATATACGCATAAGCTAAGGTGTTTCCTAGGAGGTCACTATCGATGAGGAAATTAGATGGGGACATGTAACTTCACATGACATGAAAAGAAATTACTATTGTGGCCCTTCGCAAGCACAAATTGCTTTTCCTGTCGTTTAGTACGTCGTCCAAGGTCCAAGTTCAAGTGTCACGACTGAAACACATAAGTTCCAATCGGATACTAGCTTGTGTCAATCATTTCTTTGTTATATTTTGCGCATGCAGTGAAGAACAAAGCGTAATTCGATATAATTATTGGTGAAAATAGTTTAAGTTGTGAGATATGGTTCACAGAGTTATAGTTTGATAATTTTGCTATAGCCTAAGTTGATGATAAGTTGTAAACAAGTTTTTATATGGATCAAATAAGCAAAAGACCAACTCGACTAGTGCATTAAAACCCTTACGAAAGCAAAATACGAAAGCTGGACCAAGCTTCTAACGACCAACACACACTAACCTACAACGTCGATTGGGGTGGTGGACCGCCTTACTTTCCAGATACCGCGAACAGACCCCAAATCAGCTATTATTTTAAAAAAAGCTAGGGTGGGAACAACAACAGAACCTCCTGAGAGAGTGGCCTCAGCCGAGTAAATGACAAAAATTAAGAAAAGGAAACATAAAAGAAGACAGCACGAAGATCAGATTCATTAAAAAACAGTTGTTTTAAAGAATGTAAAGATCCTTAACTATACCTCGCATGATGAGAAATAACAGAAATAAATCAAAATCATCTCATAACAACCTATATTAACTTCCTCAGCATATCCGATTATTGGCCTGGCAGCGCCATTAAGTACACAAACAAACATGACATCACGCATGTCCTGTTATCCAACCGAATTTCCCCACTTTTTTCATTGCCGAGAATCCTTTCATTATTTAATTGATGACTTGCATGAGTCTAGTTGAATTTTTGCTTGGTGCAGTACTTCAAGTAAAACGCTCGAAAACACAATTTTGTGCGTTTAGCTCATAACAGAGGAAGTATAAACCGGCGAACAAAAATTTTTTGATATTACATTAATATGAAGTTGGAGATTGAAGTACTCATATGATGACGTACTCATCTTAATCTATTTGCCAGCTCAATATCAGTCGGCAACGGGTACTGAGTTTTCTATCATCATTTCATGCAAATATGACTTTAATAATATTATGATTGGTCGGATAATAGGATTTTTTCTAGTAGCTATATAAACTCTAAACTTTTGCTACAATCCAGTTTATTGACTTGAAAATGAAATTTAGTCGCCTGATTGATAGCCACTCTTGGCATAAGACTCAGAGTAGCGATGCCTATATGTATATATATATATATATATATATATATATATATATATATATATATATATATATATATATATATATGTATGAATACTCTAGGGCAGTTTGTGTGTTACAAACAAAAACAAACAAAAACTTTAACACACAAATTCGATAGACAAATAACTTTAAATGCATGCTATTGGTTTTCTTTGACTTTGTTATCTTTTTTGATAAATTTTTGAGTTATGAAATTGATAAGGAAATTTTGCATCATCAGAACATTGGCAAAAAATGTCCCCCCCCTCATACTGTTCAATGAACGTTCATTGATTTAGTTAAGAACTATTAACTGTAAATAAGGTACTTCAATATTCATTTCAAGAATATATTTTAATTCGTAAAAACTCTTGCTACAATGAACCTTATTGACTTAACAACAACACGTACAACACAAACACAAGTACTCGAGTTGATTATCATTCTTAATAACAAGAAGGTGACTTTTGTTTATTAGGCAAAAAACAGGGTTAATTGAATAATTATAAACAAGGCAGGAACTGCAAGGGAATATTTTCTAGAATCATTTGTTATTTGTGGTTCAAGAAATCCTTTCGGATCCATAAGAAAATCACAATGCATTTCGCGCAATTTTGCTCGGACGGTCATCTGAGAAAAGCTTTCCATGTCTAAATATTCTTCCTTCCCTTCGTTATACCGAGGCCATGCTGGTAAGCTGTCAACGTTGTCTACTACGAATGGCAATTTTCTTGTGCTAGTGTTTGGATCTCTGTCAAAATAAATGCTGGTTCTATTGATCTTGCTTCAAAACTCCTTCAATAGTCTAGTATTGATATTCTAAAAGCTATAGTAATCAGTGGGGGAATTCCTAATTCGTTGCATGCAGGAAATGAAAAAAAGTTGAACTTTCTTCAGTCTACCAAAATACGGAAAGTGCTCAGTTATATCATGTGTCTTGCTTCAGATGGCATCGTCCAGTCTACTTGTTGAAGTATGTATATATAGACTTATATGTCTTTAATGCAACACTTTGTATTTTTTATACCATCGCATGCATGATCATCTAGGAATTACCACAAAAAGACGCTTCATGAATTTAGCGATAGCTCTATACCCTTAACTTAAACAGGTTAGAAGTTACCTATAATATATAAATTAAGTGGTATACATGTATATAGCTCAATCAGTTGAACAACATACGTCGCAGGTTCGATTACTGTGTTTTTGTTAAGCCTAAAATGTTATAACATGAAAACGTCAAACATTATATATACATACATTAGAACTTACCCAGTTTTAGCGAAATTCGTCCAGTACAATATCATTCTCATAGATAGCGTTTGATCGTCAGGTCGGAATTTCGTATTATTAATCGGTGCACCAAATACTGACTATATATGTAACAAAAGAGTGTGACCATTAATCCATAAACTGAGATAAAACAGTCAAAAAATGAATACACTGATTTGGCTGCGCCCCATAGACAAGTCATTTGAGCTTATGCACGCCATTCGTTAATAACAACGAGGACCTTTTCCACAAAAGTTATTTTACTGCATGACCGTTTGTATTACTTCGCTTGAACCAAAATGCGGCCGCAAAGGATCGAGCTACTTTAAAAACACTCAAGGCAACTTGACTTACCACAATATCAAGACCATGTGCTGAAAATCCGTACACCCCATAAGGGTACCAGTTAGGTATGTATTGTACCAACGGCGTATGCGAGTACTGAAAAACATACACATCTTTAGATTTCATCAGTGTGGCTCTCATTTTAGCCTCGCGTCTGCTATCACAGATGAACAAACTATCCGATCCAAATGCTACGCTCGGCTTCAAAGCCTCCAGGTGAGAAGGAATACACTTCGGCTGGTAAAGTTCCCTCGCTTTGTCGTACACCGCCTTAGACGAATTTTTGAAATGTTCTTCCAATTTTGTCTCGAAATATTCTAAATATTTGCTAATGTTCTTCGATTGTTTCAAAAGCTTTTGTTCCATATAAAACCACTCATCCTTAGTAATTCCGATGATAATACTTTGATTTTTAACTTCCCCTTTCGCCCATAATTTTTGGGGATGATCGGATATGAATTCTTTATCAATCACAGGACCGGTCCATATCTCATAGAAACCATCGCTATCCAAAATCTTCTTCCATTTACTTTCACTCACGTTTCGAAGACACGTGAGTATTTTATCATCATTATTACACTTGGCTTTCTCCAGGAACCATTTTAACCCATCTTTAATCTGGGCATCAGTCGTAATAGCCCACGGCATAAGCATGCTTCCGCTTTGCAAGATTGCTTTATCGAAATACTTCCAGCTTTCTTTAGACAAGGTATGCGCCGATACGCTTACACCCCCCGCACTTTCGCCAAATAATGTGATCGAATTAGGATTCCCGCCAAAACTAGCGATGTTATCTTTAACCCATTTGATCGCCAAACGTTGGTCATAAAGACCGAAATTACCTGAATGGGAAGAAAAATCATGCACTTGGTATAACTCATTTAGTTAAAATTTTTCGTCTTGGGGATAAAATATCGACCTAGTCAATTATATCCATCTTGTCGACAAACTAAATGATTTTCCACTAGCGATATTTTTCGCGTGAAGTGACATCTTACTTTTAGCTTTCGGAGTTCTGAACGGTCGCAACCATCCATCGATCAAAACACTCGATTTTCTTTTCACTTGTGACCGGGGAAGGGAATCCGCTACGGTCGAATTCTCACAATTGAAAAGAAAATCGAGCGAAAAATTTCGTTAGATCGAAAAATTCTGATTATTTTAGAAGGGAGAATAGCGAAACTGCATATGTCTTGAGTTGCACCGTTTATAGTAAGAGATGGATATTAACTACAATATTTTCCTGATGAAAATTGAAAACATCTTAATGTTTTTGCAAAACGTGAAAGATCATCACTATTGCAGGATTATCAGTGATGAAATTATGCACTGAGTATTAACGGACCTTTAATCCTGTCGTCCCCAGTTGAAAGAAATCCTAGAGCTGTGAGCCGATAATTGATAGCGACTAGTATGACATTACCAACAGCCACCATATTTGGACCTTGGGTCTCGCCGGAGTTCCCAAAACGGAATGCTCCACCGTGTATCCAAACCTGACGAAACATATAATAGTATATAAGTATTAAAAAGCTGCAAGCTAAACTAAGACAAACGAAAAGAACATTTACTCCTGTATATTGTGAAATATAGTCAAACCTCATAACTAATGAGGTTTACACTCATGCAACTAAATTTCGTGAATTAGGTTACATGCACATGCACCCTGTAAAAATTAGATTGATAAATATGCAATATCAGTTACAAACACTAGGGGTTATATCGGAAAAATAAAAACACTAGCGTTTGTAACTGATTCGCATATCTATTCCAATCTTATTGATTACAAATTCATTTCACAGGTTGTTTACAACACTCGTGGCCGTGTTGTATTGAATATATACAATCAATACAATATGGCCGTGCGTGTTGTAAACATTACTTAAAATAAAAAAGTGATGGTCGAGGTAACATGAGAAATCATGTTTATTGGTCGACCTAGTTTTGGGTTTTAATCTAAGCCCGAATAATTAAAACTGAATTAAAAAACTCACCATAACACTCGCATTTTTTGGACGAGGAAATGGCGTCCATACATTGAGGACTAAACAGTCTTCTGTGATGGTCAGACCAAGTTGATTTGGTTGAATGCACGCGATTATTTGTTCAGTGCTGTTTAAGGTCCCTGTAATAGAAATACTTATGGTAATACTTCAACTGGAATATTACTTGAAGCGAATCAGCCTTGAAATTCAAAGGAATTTATGTGGTACCGTTCCAGGGTGTTCTTGGTCGAGGTTTTTCAAATCTTAGTTCACCAATAGGAGCTTCGGCATACGGGATATTAAGAAATTTTTGGACACTGACTCCATTTAAACTGGAAGACTGGATTATGCCTTGTATCAAACCTGATTGCGTCTGTACCACTGCAAAAAATAATTATATGAATGCAGAGCCAGAGGAGTTAAGGGCTTCAGTTAATAATCATTCAAAGGGTTTATTAAAAGGATTGTTGTAGAAATGTTTAAATATTCCACATGAAACATGGGAGAAATCTCCCTGCAAAACGTGTTTAATCTTTTCCACCGCATTTTTTAAAACACCTCATGCGGTGACTTATTTCATGTACTTGGGTTCTTCTTGGGTAGTTGTGTTCTTATAAAAATTTCATTGTTTTCTGATTTTTAGTTTAGTCGATGAACTTGGATTCGATATTATATAATTTTGACGATATCATATTGTTGAGCCTTACCTTCGATCATGCACGCAATATGTATAAGAAAACTTAAGATTTGAGTTGACATTTCTGCTATATATAGATTTGAAAATATTAATTAAAGCTTTTACGCCAGGAACTCGCCTAAGTGCTATTGTTATAATTATATAGGCGCTGTGTATTTTAAAGGTGATTGGTTCATTCGTAATCACGTGACTTTAAATAAATGCAATGTTTCCTGCCGGTGAAAAATTGTTGCCCGTTTATTCTCATAACATATAAAACAGCTTTGGAGCCGAAAACTAAAAAAGAACGTTTCTCAAGCTTGTCAAGTGATGAAATACAACTTTTAATAGAAAAAAAAGGATAGAAAACCACTCGGAAGTCAAAATGCCGTGGTCACCCTTATAGCCTTTAGCAATGTGACCATTCATTTAAAAAAAATGAAATTTCACAATAAATATATTGTTGTAAGAGATTTAATCTTCGGTTGCATGCGAAGACTTGAGAAGGCTTGTTTGTTATATTTTAGGGCCACATAGGTTGTGATTTGTTGATTGTAAAGTGTTCATATATAACAAATCACTATTTTCGTCTTTAGCATACATTAAGTGTATATTGATGAAACCATCGGCGAGCGAGTAATGTGAATTTAGTGAAGAACGATATATTGCATATATGACATTTGATCTCTAGGCTCTTACCTTCTGCTTGATGGATGGATGACGTTACAAAAGGTGTTATTAGAAGCAGATAGACAATCACGGTCAACATACTCAAAGTCAAATTCAAAAGGTCCTATACTAAGTACGAGGTTGCGCTGTAATATGGAAGAAAAAAGAGTTGATCAACATATGGCTGCATGTACCATGCAATGTATAAAATTCAATTTCGATCATATTACATCTTCTTTAAAAACTTCTGATAAAAAATGCTCTAACACCATATAAGTCGCAAATATTTAGCATAGCTATACATATTTTGAGTTACCCTGGCAGTTACTCAAGCCTAAAAAAATGCCGCGCAAGCGATTGACATGAACGTATAGATAATTACGAATCTTCCAACAATTCTCAGTTCATGATTATTACCTTGTGAGAATGATAGACTGATAGTCTTTTAGTTCTTTACTGTTAACTAGCGCGATTATTAATGCGTAGGGCATGAGTGCTAGTCTTGGGTGTTGTTCAATAATCAACTTTATCTCTATAGTATATTCACAACTTGTGACACTTTCATGAAAACATTGTTCACGCAATATTACAGCTTGAATGTTCTAACTTCCTGCTTGTACTAATAAAAAAATATCCTTGTACGATCCAGTTCGATCAACATTCCGGAACACGAGGATTTAATTTCGTCGACGAAAGATAGATTATTTCATTAAAAAACTTACCTGCTTGATAAAACCAATTCCTTTACATAAAAAGTATCCTAAAAAACAGAAACCGACCTTCTGACGCTGCAAATATCATATATTATACATACGGCTAGGTTTTCACCATAAAAGTCTGACAAAAAGGCCTGTCATTTGACTGAATGAGGTCGATTTCGGAATCATTAATTATTGTTCTGTCAATTTTTTTAAATCATCAATCAGTACATGCAAAGTAGGCGCAAGCCATGCCTACCTGAGGATTATGGCGAAAATTTGTTGTTGATATGAGTCGGTGTTCCATTCAGTATACAAAATTTTCCAATCTGGTTCACACAACTTTTAAAATTATGATAAAACTTTTTTCAGTTTTGTCATGGCGTGCTTTGTTCATGAAAATGATGAGATATTTTGACTAAAAGCGGCTAATAGCGTATACTATTAGTGATTGTGTCTCAGTGAGTTTAAAAAAGCCGCTCTAATAGCGTACTATTAGTGATTGTGTCTCGGTGAGTTTAGAGAAGAGTTTCGTAATTAGTCTAGAAACTTATTTCGTGGTATTAATTCCTAAAGAAAACGTCAGCTAAAATTGAGATAAAATTGTTAAAGAACAACTAAGATATAATGCTAGTTGCAGTACGTCTATTTTATTTGCTACTCCTGTTTAAGAGAAACACATTTTTGGCATATACAATTATGTTTAATATAATTTGACGCAGAATAATAATAAGAAAATGAAAAGAATGAACACTACAGTAAACCAACCATGTAGCTGTACTGACGTATTTTATAAAGGCCTAGCAAAGGATTTTTCAACGAAGGTTCAAGTTTATACGTATACTTTACATAATTCTTTCGTTTTCCGCTGAATGATGGGGTAGGGGGGGGGGGGGGGGGCGCCCAGTTATATAGTTAAAAAAGGCTGTTGAAAGCGTTGAAGCTTGATTAACAACGCATACCACAATATCGGGTGCATAAGCTGCGAACCCATGCAGCCCAAAAGGACTATACAATACAATACAAACTATTTAAACACGGAGGAATATTCAGTTAAAAAATACAACTGGTTTGATAAATATATGCTATATGACTGATAAATATATGCTATGTATGGAAGCAAAGGTGTATGAGAATATTGGAAAACAAGCAACATTTGTAATATTCATCAGTGTAGACCACTTTTATTCTCCTGTCTTTTTGCACAAATAAACATTTTATCTAATTCGAACCTCACGCTTGGCTTTGAGCAACTAACCATTATATATACTTGCAATATAATGGTTAGTAACGTTTGTTGCTGAAATGACCTGTGGAACCTGTTAAAGGTAATATAAAATTATGAATCGAAGTCTGCAACTGCAATATGTAAGATAGAAGTTGCTTTAATTTCAAATTTTGTCTCGTGCCTTATATAAGTCTAATATAACTAGGCAGCCATCTTTGATTGTGAAATCCTGGCGTTATGATAATTAATATCCTGAATTTCTGGTAATGCTAAACTTCCTGAACAAGGCCGTCGTCGAAACGATGAAGAATACATAGAGCGGATTCCGGTTGACTGCAAAATTTCTTTCAACAACACTTCAACTATGTCAAAGCACAAATGGAACGCGCCGCCTATTCCTTGGAAACAGTGCATGTGGCATTTCAAATGTCATAATTATATTAAACGAACCTACACGCGTTGCGAACGCTTGTTGTTGCAGTCAAACGGAATCCGCTATAATAGGCAACTACAGTATTCCCCCGCTAACTCGAACTCCCAAAGGGAAAGAAAAATTTTTCGAGTTAACTGGGGTTGGTGTTATGTTACGTCTATATTTTACAGTTATTCTGCGAACTCGAGTCGTATATGAGCTGAGAGCTATCGCCATATACGACGAGAGTGACACACACAAACTTTGTCGTCCTTTCGGTGTGTTTTGGTGTGCTATTATCAACTAAAGCTTGGATTTCTATTTCACTCAACTCCCCAAATCTTTCGGCCATTTGGAGTTTACTTTCTCTACTAGACAGATATGAACTAATATCTGACTAGTAGCCAACCAATGAAATTGCAGCATACCTCATATCTGGCGCTGGTGTATATAATAATTACGTATATTGGATTGCCGTAGTTCATGCGTTTATTTCCTAAAAAATCCTTCTTGATATAATAATGAAATACTGATTCTTTAATCAGCGACACCATAAAAGTTAACTGGACATTAAAGTTAATTGAAGTTAATATGTAGAGATGTTACAAAAAGAACTGAGAAAGCTAGATCAATAACGATCGTGGCACTACAGATAATCTTTTAAAATTTATAATCATTTATGCAATTATATACACCGATTAAACTGTTGTTATTTCGATAGTTTCTATATAGTAATAGTATACGCGGTGTATTGGCGAACATTATAGAGTCCAGTTGTCAAAATGATATCTTCTCACATTTTTCGAAACCAAAGTTCGAGTTAACCGGATATATTCGACCAAGGGAAATTAAAATTTATTCGAATTAGCGACGAGTTCAAGTTAAGCAAGTTCGAGTTAAGCGGAGTAAATTACTAAAAAGAACATCACCAAATCCAAGGGGAATTGGTTTTAGTTCGAGTTAGTGAGGTGTCCGAGTTAAGCGAGTTCGAGTTAGCGGGGGACTACCGTATCAATTTACGTATCTTGGTTGACACTTGTTCTCCAATAGCCGTAGATTAATTATATATATGAGATTTGCTTCAAATACTTGTTGAATACTTTGAGTACTCAAACTTATAGCGTCCTTACTGACCTGTCGACCATTTAATAGTAAAATATTTGACCTAGTGACACGCGAACAGCTACTGGGCATATCGCACAAGCCACAAGGCAATTAATCCCTTACTGAACAACGCTAACCTGCTATATCGCCCATGCTGATCCTGGTTAACCCGCTTTAAACTGACAAACCCTATAGCAATCTAGAGAATCTTGCATTGCTAATCTAGTAAACGCTGGTAACCTAGAAAAACCTTGTAATCCAGTTAACACTAGTCATCTAGTTAATCCTAGGAACACGGACACCCTAGTCATACAGTATATAAACAAGTAGTTGCAATGATGACATGCTTTCAGTCTTCAGAAAGCGTTTCTAGCCATGGTAACCTATTATACATTAATAGTGATCGCAGTGTGCCAACTTTCGAGGGTAGATCTTGGGAAATTCCAATGATGCTGCATTATGTATAGTTTATACAGTGATAATGTATCGGAATTTCCTGGCTTTTCAGTTACATGCATGTGTATGCATAAATATAAAAGGCTCGTTTACACTACACTCGATTTATTGACACGGCACGTTTAAAATGGTACCCGGGTACCCTATTTATAGTGTTCAGACTACCAAAACAAAGGCCGAGTATAAATAAAATAAGGCTAAAGAGTTTCGTGATGTCTATCGATTTAACAAAGAAGGTCAAACTGACAGATGCCTTAGACAAAGAGGTTTGACCATTATAATTGAATTCATGCATACACGACATCGTGCACGGAGCAAATTAACCATGATAACAAAATTATATCCATTATTACGAACAGTTTGGTATATAGAATACCCGCCTACATACACCGTTGGAAGCAGGCCTTTCACTTTTGCAACAATTTTGTAATGCAATTCGACGTTTGCGCTGACTTAGAGAAATGATTAACCGCGATAAAGACGTTTGCATTTGTAATGCAGGAAGATTTTTAGTTCCCATTAATTAAGCTTTTTCAAGTGGCCTGTTTACAAATTCAAGTGTTTTGAAAGTTGGTAATGCGGTCCTGCATTTCTTAATTTCAAATGTCTAATCTTAACGAACCATATCATACGCAAACCGAGCTTCGATTGAAGAAGTGTGAATGCATCATTATATATTTATTTTATAACGGATAAGTTCGGGATAACATAGTTCTCTGTGCCAAGATATCGACTGTTCCCGCTGATTTGTAGAACTGCAAGAGGTAGGAACAGAATTTTCCACTGTTATGATCGGAAGTTTTGGGCTCCACGATTGTCAAAGGGCCTTTATTTCATATGACGTCAAGGGATACCAATTTTGACATAATAAGTGTAAAAGACAGTAATAAAAGTTTTGGAGAGCTCCCAATGTACATTTTAGTGACATACTCTGCCATAACGGGTTGATAACTTTCATCGTAACACTACAAAATGCTTTGCGTCAATCGCGCAAATGACAAAGATCGAGTTTCTGATTGCTTACTTCATGATATTAATTGCGAAAAAGAATGTTGCGAGAACATACCGAGAATCGATCGTTGCGTGGCCTTGCTAGAAAAATGCGAAGAACTGACAAGCGCCAAGCAAATGGCCGAAAAGGACGAGCCTTTATACGAAGCTTTCAAGTTGACAAACGATATCAGAAAGTTGAGAAACAAAAACAAGGAGATAAATGCTGAATTGAAAGAATGTTCCAAAAAGGCAAAGACGTTCACTGTTGACTTATTGGATATATGCAAGAGCGATGATGAAGTTGGGGCTCTTTTCGGCTATGACCGCGTTAATACAACCCATGCTCACAGAGAGAAAGTTAAAGTCCTGAGGAAAGCGATAGAAGCAGGACATAAAGGGGTAGGAATTGCATGTTGTTTCATAGCTAATATTAATAAAATACATATAGATAGTTTATATTCCAATTTCAACGTTACCAATACAAGCCTATACCCGACGGGGTATACTGAGAGAAAGCAAAGCCTAGCTAAATACATCATTGATTAGTTGGGCTAAATTTCAAAAGGAGTAAAAACATGCACTATAATATAAAGAAAACAAATCACATTATCTATTACGGAACCGTAAATTTGAGAGCTAGTATAGCGATTATGTGGTCCACAATAGTATTTTCTTTGTATTCAAATGATTTTTTAATATCATGCAGGCCACGGTCACGACATCTTCGTTTGCCGTTAAGAAACAATGTTTTGACGCAAATATATTTGTCCTATGATGAAGTGCTGTATGCCTATTTGTTTCTCTGGCAATAATGAAAGTTTTCACAGACTGTAAAAATTAAAAGTTTTACCAGCACCGACACTGTTCTGGTATGGAATAATCAGGGCCTCAATCGTGCATGTCCAGCAATGCATGTTTGTATGCACGTATCAGATGACGTCCTTCCAATTTAACGCTAGCAATACATATATACTTACACAACGGGATACGAGTAAGAAAAAGGTATACATTACTGATTAGTTAGGCTATTTTTTAAACCATGAGAATACGTAACATTGAACTGTAAAATTTGAAAAAATCTTAGTTTTTTGCCCATGGGGATACCCATGCACGCGGGGCATGTACAGTTATATACAGTTCCCCCCCCCCCCGAGCAGGCGATTAGCTATACATGCATAAATTTTGTGCGAAAAGAACACTTGTAGGGCCCTTGTTCAGGAATAATCCAATCACGATCATAATAGCATTGGCGACCGTCTTGGATTAATGTCTAAGAGAAGATATTTTTCTCTGACTATATGTCGCGTAATATATGCTCAAAATTAACCTCAGTTATATATCTTCATGCAACAGTACTAAAATTTTCAACATTAAAATGTTTTGCAAACCTAAAAAGCATTTAAAAGTATGTTTACTGTATAAACTCAAAACATTGAGAAAATGAAAAGATATCTCGGGATACGCCGAGAAGAAAATGACACTTGAATGGAAGCTACTTTTGTTTCATTTCAGTGATAATGGCGTTGACATTATTTATAACATAATTGTTGATAGCCACATTATATTTTGAAATGACTCTTGTCGTTTGGTGTTTTGCAATCCCAAATACAGCTCAAAACCTAGATCACGACATAATCTAAAGAATAAAGGTAGAAGAAATGAATTTTAAGTGGTACGCCAAAAAAGATTTTCCGTTTTGAACGTTTTCCCGCTAAATACACGACAATCTCCTCTTAATAAGCTTCGAAATGTAGCTACACTGATATCCTAAACCGGCTAAACGATAATGTATCATGCATGTGCGCTTTTCTTCCGGCATTTGAATGCACATGAAGTGCGATTTCCATCCACTTGATATATCAGTAAGGGATATGAGTATTTATAAATAATGGCAATTGCAGTGAGTGGAGTGCAATTTGGTGTGAAATCAAAAGCGTGATTTACAAAATCATAATCACAAGTTCGATTTCACACCAAAATTGCACGACGAAGTGCAATTTCCACTTTATTATATTCATTTTGAAATCATGCAAAAAATTAAACAAATTCAAAACAATTTATTGGCTGAAAGAACTGTAAACGGTGTAAAATGCGAGTAATTTTCTTTTTTTTTTTGTCAAGAAATTTTCCGGGGCATTTAGAAATTCAGAATAATAAAACTTTGTGCCATTTTCCCCCTTAGTTTGATTGGACAGTTGCACTGAAATACTAAATCTGATTGGTTATTATGGTGCAGAGCTTCAATCCTATTGGCTTATAAATGATGTGATTAGAGCTCAAAAATAGTGCGATTTGGGAATTAATCACACTATTTTTAACCAATCAGATTGAAAGAAACACCATTGATTTCAAAATGAGTATAATAAACATATAATTGCAAAGACGCTACCATATAGTATCCTGAGATTAAAATGGTCATCATTCATAATCATAATAGTTCGCATATTTATTCAAGTCAAGAACTGAATTAATCTACTTTCTGCTTTTAATTTTATATAGTTTGTTGCACATCGTCACACTCAACAGCTGTTATACAAGATAGTCTACGCAGATTTTCCAGCAAAATCATTTCTGTTTGGACTACCTGGTTACTTTTTGTATTCCCTAACCTTCCCGTTGTTCGCATTCGCGTTTCTCTTTTTTCCTAAGTGCCGCATATCGCATTACATGAAGTCGCCTTTTGGCTATTTCCTCAGTCATGTTTCTCAATTTTGTGTTTTTGTCGCCTTACTGGTTCACTCGTCGTTACGAGACAGCCACGAGCCAAGTGAAACTGGTTAGTATCAAAATAACTAAAAATCGTTAGAATACTTATTCTTAGCATGATAAAATTACTGGATGCTGATTGGTCGATTAAATTAAAGTTTTTTAAAGTCAGTTGTATACTGCGGTAGTACAATTATTTTTCTTAAATAAACAAAATGGCGGAAAGATATCTGCATACGAAACAAACAGCGAAAGGAAGTAGTAATAAAGCCAGAAAGGTAACAAAGATACTGCCAATGATAAAAAAGCAAATAGTAAAAAATATTGGTTAATAGTCTAGCAGGGCTATGTTTTGCCAAAAAAATTGTACATGCATAAATTATGCGCTAAACGATCACATGAGAATTACGGATTAATAGTATACTTGTGATGTTTGGGAATTTTCCAAATTGGAGTCGCCTGGTTGCTCGTCTAATTTCAGCAAAATTTTCAAATACTTCCCGTTGTATTAATCCCATAATTATTGTATTATGTTGTATATTAATAGCCATCGCATGATTTACGTATATCTACTATTCACGAAATATTCTATGAAATATTTACTATTCACCCTCCTCGAGGATACATAAAAGCGTCGTGTATTTCTTTACTTTCACAGAAATTTTGATTTACGCTTTTGTTCTGACAATGTGTTTACAAGAAGGTCTTAAAATGCTGCAAAGCAAGGAAGACTGCCGCTCCTATTTCAAGAAATGGTGGAACTGGGTCCTCATAGTAATGTTGTGCGGCTTCCTTATCTCCGGATTGTTCTGGTTAATTGGTTCATCAGCAATTGGGGGATGGGCAGCAAGAAATCTCAAGTCATCCATGAATATTGCAGGCCATAATATTCTACTAACTGCCAACGGCATTTTCTCAATCTCCGCAGTAATAAGCATTGTTTATTTGGGTAGCTTGGCTCAAGTGAACGCCGTTTTTGGACCGTTACAGCTTTCAACATTACGTATGGCGAAAGACATTTTAAAATTTCTGACGATTTTCTTGGGAATTTTTTTTGCGTTTACACTCGGTGTGCGAAATCTTTACTCGTATAATCACAGTTTGGAAGATGCGTACCTTGACAACAACAGTACGGCATACCGAGAAGAAGCCGTGCTTGGAAGGTAAATACTCTGAAACTGAATAAAACGTATAGATCTTTTGTTGCGAACATATATTCTGCTCGATATCTGCACATTTTACTCATTACTGGCATTATGGCTTTTTGTCTCTTGACCAATGAAATTGTTTGAATTCGGAACGTTATATATATTGGGTAAAGTTTAGGGTAGATTTCACGACTGTTTTTAATTTTTACCGAAAGTGCCGAAATTTTAACATGTTGGGAATCTTTCGTCTTTTTAGACGGTAGCCATATTGCATACTGAAGTTTCAGTGCTTTTCAATCTAGTGGGCTGTCGCCAATCACAAATAATTCCAACCTGTACGTAATTTTTGCAAAGTGAAAATCATTTTAACATAATTTGACACGGTTGTATTCAGGTTCGGGAATGCTTGGCGTGTGATGTTTTGGGCATTGTTTGACCAAACCAATATTGAAAAATTCGACTCGACTCATCCAAAGTTTGAAATCACAAGTGAAGTTGGTAAGGTTTTGTTCGCGATATACCTCATCATTGCGGTTCTTGTTGGGATCAATATGCTCATCGCGATGATGAACAACTCATTCGAATACGTTGCGGTAAGTCAAAAAGATATAAAGAAGAATGTTTTAATTTAGTGGCATGTAGTAAAAAAATTAAAGTATAGATTTCAAGTTTGTTCTCCGCATCGGCTCTGCTCATGACAATCAGACAATGGGAGTCCCTCACATAGAAGGCATAAAGATTCGTTGCGTGATATTCCATAATGCTTTCCAGGTGTAACTTGTCTGCTCTGATTATAATAATACCGCTTTTTAGAATGATAAAGATGATATGAAATGGAAGATGAGTAGAGCGGCTATGTGGTTAGAATTCACATACAAGGAAGATGATAGCGAGTATTGGCTACCTCCACCGTACAATATTCTCCAGCTTCCATTTATCATTTTCAAAAAATACTGTAGGAATAATGAGGTATGTATTATTGCTAAACATTGTTTGATAAAGATTGATCACCATATCGGCCAACGACTAGCTCTAGTCTGTAGTGGTCTGTAGTGGTCTATGTGGTCTGTAGTCTGTGTGAATATGTATGCTCAGTATATTTTTAGGCAAGGATATAGAATAAAATCTGTTTTTTATAGCTTTTATAGCAAATTGCAATTGGCTTTTATTGCACGACTTAATTCGTTCTTTTACCAATTGCAGTGGCGTAGCCAGCATCGATAATTGCGGGGTCCATATTCATATATTCATGTAAACAGACTGTAAAGACAATTGATTTGAAAAGAAATTAATCTGCGTATCACGAATATATGAATATGGGCCCCCTCAATTATCGTTCTGGCTACGCCGCTGACCAATTGGATTACTCTTCTGCAATTAACAATTAAGAACAAAAATACAATTTACAGAATTTTATTGACTATAACTATTAAATTATTTTCACAACATTGTTTTGTAAGTTGTAGAATTTGGAATAATATTATTAAAATATATTATTATACATTTCATTTCACTCATTCGCTGTTAATGCTATCGAGTTACTTAACTCGTACGTAGATGTTTACCATCATAATAATATAAAATGCAAAGGAAGAAATTTTAAAGTAGCTAAAAAGCGAGAATTCTGACCGGACCGAAAAAATGCGCTCTTAATTTTAATCTTCTAGCAACATGATTGACCTATACATCTTTCGTGGATCATCAGCAGGAAATATATTTGAAAAAATAACACGCGCATGTCTGTTATATTTTCATCAGGAACAAAAGCAGATACCAGAAAGAATAGAACTGAATCAGGTAAAATTAAATATTGCATTAAATTTAAGAATTTTTTATAATTTTCCGTAACGAAGTTATTCCTCCCTTCCAAAATGTTGTAAGAATAAGCCCATTATGAATTCGTACCGCGTGTTTGTGCCCTAAAATGTGTTGTATCGTAGCATTGAATCATTTTAATTCGCATGTTGATCCGCTTTAATTTTCATTGGTACCACCAAAAGGTAACTCATTCAATAATTTTTTTATTATTTATTTAAATTAAAACACAGCCATGCACTGATTGGCTAATAGCCATGTGTAAAATCGTCATGTTCTAACGTCATAACGTGTGATACGACTTTTTTCATGCATTCATGCATAATCAGAAGAAGTTCAAATGATGACAGAAACCAGAATCTAAAAAGTTATGTTTTCGCTTTAGAACTTTGAAAGCCGTAAAGACAGACTGAAGAAAATTATTAACCGTTACCTTGCAAAGAATACGCTTGAGCTTAATGAAAAGGAAGAACGGGACCGCTTTGAAGAATATCTAAAACTAAAGGTATTAACCGAAAAAGTGTCTTTTCTTCTTTTGTAAGACCAACTTTAAGCGCTCGTTGCACTTCTGAAATGCACGAAGGTTATTAACTGTTCCTAAAGCCTAGTTCCATTAATCGTAATTGTCGTGAACGAACCTTTTTTTATAACCGATAAGAAATAGTCCGGTTGTAAATTTGTCTTCATTTCTGTATTGAAATCGGTCATTGACTGCACACAATCAGCCTCGTTGAAATGTGCACTTAGGACTTTATGGAAACCAGTCCTCTTTCGTGTTGATGCCCCGAAATGATCAAAAGTAAAGCCTTTAATTTGACAATAGTTCGTAACAAGGACCTACTTTAAAAATCCACAACCAACCAACTTCTTGTAAGGTAAACTATACGCACCGCACAATTGATTATCGTCAATTGATTGGTTGAAATTGATTGATCGTTACCGAGAAGATCGTTCTTATATAGTGAGCTAAACATGAACATGCTTAATAATTTTTTGGTATAACCTAGGCCTAATTGACAATACTACAGAATGTTACAGTATTCTTCGTCTTTTCGATATGCTTTCCTTTTTTTTTCAGAGGGAACAACAAACAATTTTATACGAGTCTAATGTCTGAGAAACTCGCCCCTATGTGGGTGAAACAAACTAGATGTTTCGTCAGCGACTCAGCGCTGCATTTAGTTCTGGAACAGATAGTATAGTGCGAAGATAGTATAAAAATATGTACAAAGCCTGCTATTGCATGTGTATATCCTAATTTTCTTTAGTGAGTAGACGACTAAAGCATAACTTTCGTCTGTGCAAAAATTAAAAAAATTAACTAAATGTTTTATAATGATAATTGGTCTAAAACGAAATCTCTCCTTGCTTTTTTATAAACAACTATTGGATGAGGTTTTTGTGATATGCAGAGTTATCAAGCCGAAGGCATATCATTCTGCATATCACAAAAACCGAATTCAATAATACAGTTTCTTTTAAAGAGCAACCCATTGTGTTTTTGATAAATGCTTCCTGATGATTGTCATGCAGGGATCTGTTATTATTTTCCTCATTTCATTAGGTGTAATTTTTAAAAACAGTTTTAGGAAAAAGTTTACTTTTTTGCGAATTTGCAGTTTAATCCTAGGGAACGCAAAACTTATGCGTTGTGCACCTGAAAATAAATTTCTGTTCAATAAATACATCGTATGAAATTTCTGCCTTGTGATATTTGTACTTAATCTCCGCCGACTGTATTTGTTTACGCGCGGCAGTTGCGACGTGTCATCATCATGTACGTATATATACCCATTACCCAGGGCAGGTATATGATCGACTTCGTCTCGTGAAACATTCAGACTCTTGGGAGAACAAAACTCACTTCTTCCGGAGGTAGTTTACATTAAGTGCTTTTTTCATATATAGGAACAAAAACATGCATGTTACACAATAATTTCATTTCAAAAAGATACTTTGTTATGACAATATGCGGCAACAATTTTTCACTTGTTTCCCTCGCAGGAAACATTGCATTTATTTGAAGTCATGTGACTACGAATGAACGAATCGCATTTAAAATACACAACCATATACACTTAATGTACGGAAATAGCGAGTTTTGTTTTCCCAAGAGTCTGAATGTTCCCTAGGGAACATTGAAACTCGAGGAAAAACAAAACTCACTATTACCCGAGGTACCAGAGGTAGTGTACATTACACTGTAGGTGTTTTGTTATACAGGAACTAAAACATACATGTTGCACAACAATTTAATTTAAAAAAACTCCACGTTACTTTGTTATGACAATAAGCGGGCAACAATTTTTCACTTTTTCCCTGGCGGGAAACATTGCATTTATTTAAAGTGAGGCTGAACCTGGTATGAACTCACAGGAAACTGGAGTGAGAGCAGTCAAAGCACAAATAGTGTTGCCAACCTTGGGATTTTATCCCAAGATCTTGGGATTTTTTAAGGCTGTTGGGATTTTTTTGGGATTTTTATTTTTTTAATAAGACCTTGGGATTTTTCTTGGGGTTTTTTAGAATAGAGACAAGATAATGTTTTAATAATGATAGTTGTAATACTGATTAATCTGCCTGCTCGGTATAACTGTTATTCACTAAATATTTTAATATATCATACAGAGTATACAGCAGTTAAGTGCTGAGATCAGTGAGAAGGTTTCTTCCTATCGTTTATACAAGACCAAGTATTTTGCCAGGCTTCGGTTAACGCGCATGGCTGAACACTTCGCCTGAGGGGACCTGGGAACTAATGAAAAAAATCTTGGAATTTTTTGAGGGGAAAATAGGGAATCTTGGGATTTTTTGGGAGCTATATTGGGATTTTTAGGAAAACTGACTTGGCAACACTGAGCACAATAATCTAAAACAGAACAGAACGTTCGACTTCCACTACATTTATGGCATCCCCACAGTACAATACAGTTCGAAGCAAGCAACCTTCCAGAAAAAGTATAAGAATATAATATATACAAGGCTGCTTAGAAATCAACGAAGTCGAAGGTAATAAAGTATGGCTTGAAATTCCTCTCAGAGACAGCTAAAATACTATAGACTAGAATTCCTTAGTATTATATCTCGGCAATAGCTCAGAGCCTCAGATTTCTCGGAGTAGCTAAACTTTATATAGCCTGGAATTGGATAGCTAAGCTATATACCCTGGGATTTCTAGAAGTTAGCTAAACGTTGGCCTGGAATTCCTCAGGGGGACTAAACTATGTAGGCCTAGAATTTCTCAAAGGAAACTAAAAAATGCTTGGATTTCCTTAAAATGGAATATATCACATAATAGTAGCCTTTCTCAGCCACTTTAATCACTTGAGCACAATCCTTATTGTATATAGATGTGTCAAATAGCAGCAATATTGAGTTTATTATTTATTAATTTATTAATTTATTACTGCTGTATTAAAAGGGAGCTAATCATACTTTCTAACAAATTATAAATGATTTCAATGGAACTGACTCAAAATTTGGAGCATTGAGACTCCGGGGAATACAAAACTCACTATTTCCCAAGGTACATAGTGTACATTAATAAAGTGCTTTGTTATACAGGTCCAAAAACGTACATGTTACATTATGACAATTTCAATTAAAAAACACTTTGTTGTGATAAGATGCAGACAACAATTTTTCATTTGTCTCCAGCCAACTTGTTTCCCTGGCGGGAAACATTGCATTTATATGAAGTCATGAGATTACGAATGAACCAATCACGTTTAAAATACTACAGCACCTATATAACAAAATATTTTATTTTGGCATAGTGAATAAATCTTATGAAGCAAACCAATTATATTATGTTTATTTTTTTGGTTTGCTGTGGTTTTAAATGAATATCTATGAGTCTGAGTCCTGAAAAATGTGAAACAGGCAATTTCAAATTTGCAGCCAATGCATTGTTACGAGCATGCATAGGAATTAAGCTGAGGAGTCAGGACCAAGTGGAGAATACCATACCCATAACAAAACACATTAACAAATACATCTCATATAGTTGTTAATTGTTTGTGGTTTACACCATATAATTTATTAGATTTCTAAGCTTTTGGCCCGTGAGCTTGGGCCATCATCAGAGAAAAGTTTTATTACAAACAAACTATGTCACATCACCTGACATCACCCAACAAAGTCATGCAATTATAAACGGTTAAATTAAAAAGAGATAAAGGTTCTACTTTGATAGAAAACTAAGCACGCGAGAACTAGAACAAACAAGACCATATGTTATTAAGTGGTCTCCCTTCCTGTGGAATAGTTTTATGTTTGAATATCTCAATTGATTCCCTAGTTATACGAGGAAAATAATTGTTCACAGGAGCGAGAAGGGATGAGTTTTCCCAATTAAATTCGTTTTCCCATGAGTGTTTAGCAATAGCTGATCTTTACAAATTTCCTCTTGAACAACAACTCAATGTTCTTTTTGTCTGACTTTCAAATTACGTCCGGTTTCGCCTATATATACGAAACCGCATTCACAAGGTATACGGTATACGCCAGGTTTTTGGTTAGCTGGAGTTTTATCTTTGTGAGAAAATAATAGTTGCTGTATTTTTAGATGAGAGCTATGAAAAACTTTAATATTGTTATTTCTGAGGATTCTCTCATGATGCAAACCGTGTTGATCGGTTCATTTTCATTATCAGCAGTCGGATTAGGTGAGGTATAATCCAGGTTAATTTGTTTATCGGGAAAGCCATTACAAAAAAGGACTTTCTGGAGATGTTGTAATTCATTGTTGATGCTGTTGTTATCGCAAAAAGAATGGGCACAGTGGACTAAGGTTCTGCAAACAAAGGTCAAAATTCTAGGATGATGTAAAGATCGATAGTTGAGGTAGCGGTCGGTATATGTGGGTAGACGGAGTGGTGAAGGAAGCCACTAGGATTTCGGGTGAAAAGGATATCTAGGAAAGGTAAAGAATGTTGCTGGTTTTCAATTTCCATGGTGAAGGTTATAGATGGGTGTAGACCATTGAGATATTCAATCCCGTGAGGGCAAATAAGGAAAACGTCATCCACATAACGTTTCCATAATTTGGGTTTGGATTGACACTGCTCTTTCTTCGAGTCTTCCATGAATATATTTGCTAGGACTAGAGAGAGAGGTGAGCCCATGGCTGCGCCACTTGTTTGCTCATAGAAATCATCTCTCCACTGGAAATAAGTTGAGCAAAGGCAAAGTTGAAGTAGGTCAATAATTTCGTCTACTGATAAGTTAGTGCGTGAAGGAAGACTATCGTCTGATGCAAGTTTCTGTTTGGTAATTTCACATGGAAATTTGGAAAGATCAGCTATAGCTAAACACTCATGGGAAAACGACCAAAAATTTAATTGGGAAGACTCATCCCTTCTCGCTCCTGTGAACAATTATTTTTCTCGTATAACTAGGGAATGAATTTAGATATTTAAACATAAAACTATTCCACAGAAAGGGATGATGATGATGATGGCCCGAGCTCACGGGCCGAAAGCTTAGAAATCAAATAAATTACATGGTGTAAACCACAAACAATTAACAACTATATTTCACAACACCATGCAAAACTTCAAAGAACAAACACATCTCAGTTATACTTATAGAACAGTGGTTAGGAAAACTCAAGTCTCGTTCCGTTCGCGTAACACCAAAGCGACTGGGGACCAGTCTAGCCGCATATATTGGCGTAACCGATCTTCATTAACATAGAAATTTAAACGATTTTCCAGGCACTATCTTGTTACTAGAATTATTTGTTTACCAACAGATTCCTTTATGGCCTACTCCGTTAAGAAGAGAGCGAGGCAGCGAGGAGGAACTCGTGATCCAGACAATGATTTTTCACGAAAACTTACTTACGTACTACGGCATAATGCTGTTGACTTAGGGATGAACGTAAACCACGAAGGGTATGTAAATATATTGGAATTACAAGCTCACAAACTTTTTCACCAGTTTCGACCTGTCACTGCTGAAAAACTCCAGAATATCATCGATATGGACGAAAAACAACGATTTTCAATGGTACAGCGCAGTGACTCTTGGTTTATTCGTGCCAATCAGGGTCACAGTGGTAATGTTGCTGCTCAGCTCGTAGATGAAAAAATGTTGACTCCAGTTTCGAGTTCAAAAGACTATCCTATCTGTGTTCATGGGACAGATAAAGAAGCCTGGGCTAAGATCAGTGCCTCGGGTGGTCTTTCAAGAATGGCCCGCAAGCATACTCACATGAGTTCACGGCACAAGGGTTCAAGAGAAATGATTAGTGGTATGCGTAAGCGATCTAATGTCATGATCTATATCGACCTAGATAATGCTATCTCCGCAGGTATTAAATTTTACATATCCACGAACCAGGTTATTTTGTCGGAAGGCAATGATCAAGGTATGATACCAATTGAATTTTTCAAAGAAGTTAAGTTTCTTGATTAAATTAGATTAGATTAGATGGTAAATGACGAGCCATCGAAGTCCATTCAAAGATGATTAACATTAATTTGACAATTAAGGCGAGACACTTTTTGAAAGATCCTCGGAATTAGGCATTTCAGACAGGGCCGTAACTAGAATGATAATTGGGGGGTGTTTATTATGCATATATTCAGTTCTGCCCGACGGATTTCCATTGTGAGCTATTGCACTTACAAAAGAAATCCGTAGGGCAGAACTGAATATATGCATAAACACCCCCCCAATTATCGTTCTAGTTACGGCCCTGATTTCAGAGTCTTATATGAGGGCTGTTTCTTTGAAAATTTTGATCAGAGATACATGTGTATATACATGCTATACGAAATATATACAAATTACGTAACTCATAGGGTTGACCGTTATAAATTTATCAAGTGTAGCTACATTTCTGAAATTTTAAAGTTATATTACACATATAAAGTTATTTTCAACTTATATTAGTTTTATTCGTCACGTAGAAATACACGCACAAAATAAAAATGTATAATAGAAATACACACATAAAATAGAAATATGCGCACAAAATAGAAATACATGCACGAAATAAAAATACACACATAATTCATAAAATAGAAATACATAAAATAGCGGCGCTAGCGAGATCGGAACTTCAGATTTGCATAATCAGATCACATTACCACCATGATCACAGATTGTCATTGAGCTTGTCAAAGAGTAAAGATTTATCCCTGCTGTGGTCTTGTCATGGTTGCTTGACCACAAAACACATCGGCGATTTTCTTTATTGTACTCTGGTAAAAACTGCTACTGAATGAACTGCCCTAACCGATAATGATACTGGCTCAGTCACGAATGGAACACGGTTTCTATTGCATGTGCGTGTGCTTTCTATATGTATTGCAATTTTGTGCCGGTTGGTGTGTTTCTCTTTTGTGTTTGTCTTTTATTATTTGCATATTGAGTTAGTTAACTTTTACGTTTAAACTTACAGTGTTTGTATGATATTGTTATTTTACGTCATGGCCCTTGTGAGCTCAGCCACCGTCATAGTGCATGGTGTTGAATTGGTATCCATACAGTAGCATTGTTTTAACTCATTTTCTTCGTAGAAAGATTAGGTTAAATCTCCCCAGAGTTTATTTTAATTCAATTGCGAGTACAGAGAATATAGGTTCAACGAAAATGGGGTATTTTCTACTCGTGACGCGAAATGGCTGCCTTCAGTTTGGCTTCAATTAAGATGGTTTCTCTTGCACTTTGTATAGCTACTTCTCTTTTCTTATCTTTGGCTTCCGTATATTAGAAAGAAAGACATCTGTAACTAATTTCTTACTAATTTCTCATTTGTTGAAGGAAAATAGAATGAAATTATGCATGACTAAATTAATGCATGCCAGCAATGGTCATATACATCCATATAATGCTTATGTAATCGCTTGCTGTATACAATTTCCTGGCTATTAAACTTTTTTTAAAAATAATGCAACTCCTTGCCCTCTCTTCCACCTTTCATTAATATGATTTCTAGAACTGCTACACGAAGCAACCCAGAAATCAGTGCTAAGTGTATCTAGAAACGACAATTCATCCCGTGATATAATCGATTTATTTTATTTGAATTCGATTGGATTCAATTGATTTCATTTTAGTTTATTCGAATTTCAAATGAATTGAACTAAATTGATGTGAATTTATTTGAAATTTAAGTCATCTCTCCGACGCCGTGAGAAACTCAAAGATCGCTACATTCGGTGATGATACTAAGATCTTTAAAACCATCGAGACTAGGTCGGATGCATCAGCTCTGCAGAACGACCTGACAAATTCTGAAAAGAGCTCCACTAACATTAACCTGGAACTAAATTCAAGCAAATGTTAAGTGTTATTGGTCACTCGTAAACGCAACAAAATCATCTATGCATACAAACTACAACATACTATTTCAGAAAGCACAAACTGTGATGTAGGAATTTTTAGTAATCAAGCTCAACATGGTCTATAAACATATTGAGAACCAGTGTAAAAAAACCACCAAGAGTTTAGGATTTATACGAAGATCAAAATGGGACATCAAGGTAACCGCCATTCGTCGCACATTATACTTGACGCTTGTTCATTCGCAGCTAAGCTACGATCACAAATTTGGGCGCCGCAAAGAAACTCGCAAGAAACCCCGCAAGCCAGGATTTTCTACTTTTAATCAAATGCATTCAATGACGTGCGGCAAAGCATGTACTAAATCAACCATTCCGTTGTGACACCACCTACCAACAGAGGTTCCTACTCTTAGATCTTATTCCATTATGCTATTGGCATGGATTCTTAGACATTGCCTGTTTTTACAAAGCAACTCGATCATGTCAGCATCGACACTCATCTTCTGCCATCACCAACAAGCAATACTGTATAGAAACACAGGAAAAATGTTTTCTATTTCTTTTATAATATAACGCAATAAAAAGATTTTGAACAAATATTATCATTTGATTCAATTACAAATTCTCATTACATCGCTTCGCTTGTCAAGTTCGACGGGAAAATTCCCGTGTTTCTATACAGTTTTAGTATACACCCGACTATTGTCTATTAGAAATCCTACATTCTGATTGGCTACTCAACCACTGTCTATTCGTGATGGTGAACGTTTGGGAAAAATTCGCTCGCGCGACCGTATAAAATTGAATTAATTAAATTATTTTTCAGTGTAATTGCGGTGTATCGATTATTTTCTCGAAATTAATATATCTAGGTACAGGGTGTATACTAAAACAATCAGACAACTCGGACTCGTTGTCTAATTGTTAAATAGAAACATGCTTCTCGACCAATCAGCACGCGCGTACTATAAATGTTGTATTATAAATGTGTATAGAGATCACTTTAATTGACAAGGACACTCTTTTAATATACAAAAACACAGAGACCAACAAAGTTAGAAATTTTATGCATCAAAAAATATAAAGTTTCTTTGTAATTCTGTTCAATAGAAGTTCAATGGTAATTTTGTTCAATAGAAGAAATAGATTTTCTTTCAGAGAATTTTATAATGTGCCAAATGTGAGCACGTCTTGAATTTGAGAATTACGTTTCGAGTCTCATTCTTATATTTCGACGCCATCTTAAAAAAATGTAAACAAATTGCCAAAATAACATACGACAATTTTTCCCGTGTGAAGAATATCGTACGTCCAATCAAAAGTCGTGTATGACATTTTCTCACCGGCACGTGAAAAACATCGTATGCCCAATCAAATTAGCCTTTCGCACAATCAAGTTTTAGGAATTTTCAATCTTCTGAAATGAATTTGAAAAATATAACAACATTAAAAGCATTTTTTTAGAATCAACAGACCATTTGAAGAATAAATTCCGAAAAATTGAAGACAGTCGCCGTTACGAGGCCTTACGCTCGCGGTTTTGAAATTCGTCATCGCTAATTGCATAAAGTTAATTTACCCAGTGATATAGTTTAGGTTTAAGTTGAATACGAATATTTACACAGGAAAGCGGTCGTGTAATGATGAAAGTCTGGCAAGCTGCGTCCGACTCAGATTTAGTTGTAGTACGCCACAATACGTATATATGAGCATGATCATCGTGCGATAAATGGTTCTGGCCGAAGGTAAATCGAGAAAATCTCTTATCTTAAGCAAGAGCCTCATCCGTCCTGATGCTTTCTTGAAACTTTTTTCAAACTTAGAATTCAAACATAGTGATCTATATCCACTAGCACGCCAAGATATTTATAATCAGATGTACTAGTTATTATAGTCGGCATGGGGCATGGTACGGAGATCTCACGTGGCTCCGTTTGCATGCTTCTTTGTTTGGCATTTCCCAATAGAAGGGATTCAGTTTAATAATAGGGAGGTTAAGATCGACTTCCGCTACGACTACCGATACCAATATTCAGTCACGCGCATGCACAGACGTAACAATCGTCCAAAATGTGATAACACCGGAAGTCGCGAGTACCGTTTTGGGGCTGAAATTGGAAGTAAATATGTAGGCGAAGTACCGAATTATATTTACTGTATTATTGCATTTCCTGCAGTTTTTTCTAATAATATTATTTAGTTTTTAGTTGTGTAATGTTTCTGCTTTGTTTGTTGAACTTAAGGATTGTGATTAGAGTTTTTGATGTGAATACAGCCGCTATACTCCGCCGTGTTTATTTACTTCTTACGGAAGTCACAATCTTAACGCTTTAAAGTTTCCACGCTGCCAAACAGTAATACGTCATGTATTTTTGTATCGGTACTGGTAGTGGAAGTAGATCTTAACCTCCCTATTGATCCCTGCGGAACACCAGAATAGATTTTGTAAACTTCAGATAAGCAGTTATTGTAGCTTACCACCGCTTACGGGAGAAGAGGTAGTCTTAATTTGTTTATTAAGAATTTTGTGTATAAATTAAGAAATATAAAACATTTTCCGTGTTTCTATACAGTTATAGAAACACGCGTGGGAGTTTGGGAGAACGAGAAATAATCAGTGGGAAAACGAGCCCGTAGGGGCGAGTTTTTCGTCGTTATTTCGAGTTCTCCCAAACTCCCATAAGTGTTTCTAAAACTGTATAGAAACACAGGAAAAAATGTTTTCTATTTCTTTTATAATATAACGCAATAAAAAGATTTTGAACAAATATTATAATTCGATTGAATTACAAATTCTCATTACATCGCTTCGCTTGTCAAGTTCGTCTGCTTGTCTGCGACATACAAAACAGTGTCGTTTGCGTATTTAATGACTTTGGAATGGTTTGGTAAAGAAAACCAAACACAGCAATGGGCCCAATATTGATCCCTGTGGAACCCCGGAATAAATTTTGTTATTGTAGCTTACTAGTAACTACCGCTTTACCGAAGTAGAGGTAGTCTTTAAACTATTCAGTCACCATAATTTATTCCATATCGAGAACGTTTATCCAGCAGATTTGCGTGGCTAATTGTGTCAAAAGCCTTACTCAAGTCGATAAGCTCAATCGACAGGCCACGACGGAAGCCAAACTGAAACTCGGACAAAAGATAATTTTTGTCCAGAAATGACATCAGCTGGCGTTGGACTATATTTTCAATGATTTCGACAGGTAGATATTGTGACAGTATTACAATGACTGTCGCTAACTGTCGGAAAAATATCAGAATCAGTCTTCAGTTTTAGCCTGGCTTTCATAATAATTATACGTCGCGTAGTTCACCCGCTTCGCTCTACGAAACGTAATCATCATTAAGGCATTTTATCAATGACCACAAATCGCGGTAAAATTACTGGCGATTTATCAAAACTAGTTGAAGTGCTGCTCTAGATCATTTTTCCTGATCGGTAATTCAGAGTAGCACCTTAACAATACAGTTTTATTGAGCATCGTCAATGGCCATGTAAGCAATAAACTAATCCACAGGGGGTAAAAACACTCTAAATAATTATTTATAAATGTTCTTATGCATGAATATTTAATTTGCCGGGTTTTTTCACACATCCTGTACTTTCACATACGTCATATCGAACGATTAATATAACGAAACATGCTCAATAAGCAATAAACCAATCGACTTATTACTACTGGACATGCAGTAACTTGTTTAGTACACACAAATCTGTCTGGTGCCGTCTTTGGCGTGTCTCAGTCTACGTATTACGCTGATATTGAAAGGTCATTCAAGCAATCAAGACATTCAAGCATTGAAATTTGAAATATTGTCGAAGTCGAGACGATATCCAGACGTCACTGATATATTGGTGGCAATATGCCCACCGTCGGCTACTTGTCTCTTCTTGTCTTCCTGGCGATCGTGAACTCGGCATCATGTCTATCACCTGGAGGGTAAGATAAGAGATATTTTATTCCTCAATTTATCTAATACAAACGTGCATCTTGTTAGCGATTATTCACTATATCATTCAGCTAGAGATATAAGATTTCTGTCAGGCAGACAAGTAGTAAGAATACTCTGCTACCGATGCTAATTGATTGTGCTCGGCACCAACAATCACTCAAAATTAGGCGATGAAACAGTTAAAATGATAAGGCTGGCTTTCATAAAAGCAAAATCCGACTTATATAACCTAAGGCTAAATGCAACAAATTACAACGAATTACAACATGTGAATTACGACGGATCATGGCAAATTTTGTTGTATATATAAAACAGCCTTAAGTTACGGTGCAACAAATGCGAAGAATGCTTGCATTCTATCATAACTTTAAAACAAATATCTTGCCACTTTTCATAGTAGATTTTTTTTCGGCTGTTCTGACGACCCTATAGACCGATAATTTTCCCAGTTTTCCTACGAGATACAGATTTTATTAAAAAATATATAACTCAAATTTTATCTATCGCAAATATTTAGGCAACCACTTCCTATGAACGCGAAAAGTTAATCCTATTTAATGTAAAATACAAATGTAATAAGCGAATAAAATTTAGGAAGCGAATTTAATCATCCATGCCTTTTGGTATCAGCATCATTCTGCGAAATTTTTATCGCCCGAAATGAAATGTGGATTTATGTAATTTATTGGAATGGTGAACCCGTGAACTATATGTAGCCTAATCGGTAAACTATAACTGTAACGTGAGAATGTTATCTTGAACTTCGTTTCACTCACGTTTTCCCAGTATTACTTTTCAAATTCCTGGTAAGACTCGTGTAACAGCACTTCCTGTTCAGGCAAGTTTCGGAATTCCGTTTCTCTATCAGTCATGCACATATATTTTAAAGAAGCTCTCACACTAAAGTACCACACGCACTCACAAGGTATATAATGCGAGCGACACTTACATTCAGTCAACTTTAGTATTTTATGAAAGTATAGTTTCAATCAGGGCTGCTTGCAGAAAATGCCTTACACTTGCTAACCCTGCATGTAAGGTGCATTTTTATTGGCTGTTCGGACGACTTCCTATGCCTATGTATGAACCGAACAGATTTTAGAAAAAAAAATAATCAAGTTCAATACCTATCACAAATATTTAGGCAACTCATCTCCTACACATGAAGAGTTTAATCCTATACTTAAGACGAGATATTTTTTCATATCGCGTAATATATGCTCAAAACCTCAGTTATATCTTCATGCAACAGCACTAAAATTTTCAGCATGAGAAATGTTTTGCAAACCTGAAAGCATCCACAAAGTATGCTTATATACTGTATAATCTGAAAATATTGTGAATATGAAAAGATTTCTCGGCTTCTTAGCCTTCTTTTGTATTCATTTTTATATTTTGTAATGACTCCTTTGTTTGGTGTTTTGCGTTCACCAAATACAGTTCAAAACTTAGTTCACAAGATAATCTAAAGAATAAAGTAAAATAAATTAATTTTGAGCGGTACGCCGAAAAGATTTTAGGTTTTGAGCGTTTTAATTACCGCCAAAATTAATACGCGACATAATAGAAAATTTCCTCTTAATGAAATATGCAAAATAGAAATACTTTTGACACAAGTACAAAAGCGAAACTAGGGAAATTTGGGAATTTTCATGTAAATAATTCATTTTGATATCAGTACAGTATCATTCTGCGGGATTTTATCGCCAGAAATAAAATTTGAATCTATGTAATTTATTGAAATGGTAAACCCGTGATAACGCTATTGATATATGTTTACTATAGCGTGTTAAGACTGGACTTTCGTTGCACGTTCCCAGAACATCTTTTAAAATCGTTTCCCAGTATTTCTTTTAAAATTGCTGGTACGACTTGTGTAACAGCACTTCCGGGTATTTTGTTTCTCTATCCACTGCATGTTTTCTAAGTAAAGGCGTGTTTATATGATCCCGCCTAGCCGGGACGGGACAGCTTCCAAGATTCCGCTTGTAATTTGATATCACTTTTCCATCCCGGCAAGAAGTGCCGGGATCCCGCTTAGACGGGATGAGATAGCCATATAAACACTCCATCCCGCTTGGCCGCGGGATGATTAGCGATAAACATACATTTGGAGCATGTGTATAATATTATATTGGCATATTCGTTTTCTACATGCAATAAAACATGCCGTCGAACGAACCTACACTACAAAATGAACTCCATATAAACACGGCATCCTGCCTAGGCGAATTTCTCGGCTAAGCGGGATGAAAACATCCCGTCCCGGCTAAACCGGATCATATAAACAGGCCCTTAAAGCTCTCGCACTAAACGCCACCCCCTCTACTTATAGGAATTATGCTAGCGACACATTTCAATTTCTTTCGATTTGTTAACATGTTTGACTTGGTAAGCTTTCAAGGAATGGCTGTCCTATTTAATTTAAGAAATGAAAACGAAAGTCTATGCTGCGCATCCCACGCATAAATTCGAATTATACAAGGGCTGTTCCAGCCTGCAAGTATAATTTCGGTTATATGAGGGAACGAAGGGAGAAATATGAGAATACAAGCGGTATGGCATACCAATCTGTGATGTGAAGCACAGATTGGTATGCCATACCGCTTGTATTCTCATATATTTCGACCGGAGTTCCCGAAATATAACAGAATTTTGTTGATGCAGAATTTTGTTTACGTCACGAATACATTCTAGCTTGGTTGCTGTACGTTTGGCAGGACTATTACGATGGCAATCGCAGGCCTAAAGAATATAATCGCATAAAAGTTCTTAAAGAGGATATTTTAAAACAACTCAAACATTTTCGTGTGCAAGCAGGAATTAAAGTATACCTTTCCCAGAAGGAAGGACTGTTGAACTATTTAGAAGTCTAAAAAGATATTTATCACTCGATAACTGTTCAAGGATTTTGCAGGCTAAATGTGAAACCATTAAACATTGTCTCTTGTTGGCCATGTATATACTCTAAAAGATACTGAAATGTTAGACAATGATTGCATAAATGCAAAGTTTCAACGTAGTAACGGCAATTCATAAGCCACCATTATCCAAAACCCCATAATGACAGAGACATATGAGACAGAATCTAAAAGACAGACAATAATTCATCTAATCATCAATTATCGATATAGCGATTAAAAAGTGTACAATAATATATTAATAAAGCATGATCCCTAATTCTAAGCTTCAAATACTACTATATAATTAAAGAGTATTTTTCAACTTCCAGGAAAAATGTGAAGACTACCTACCAGACATATTATGTTACAGAACACACCACAACAAAGCGTCTCAGTTATACAAGAACGTGTACACAAACATGCAGCGGTCACTTTATATGGTGTTGGTCATATACTACAGTTTGCAAGTAGGTATATCCTCCGCACAGTACACACTAGGTGTTAAGAAATCGAAAACTAGGGAATGCCTCCTGAAGACTGAGGGGCATCAAAAAGCTAGGAGTGGTCGAAGGTGGAGTCATCAGTGGCCTGTGAATCTGCAGCATTATGATAACTTAAAAGGGAACATTACCTATTATTTTTTAATACCATCATGGTATATTGAATAAGTGCATTTAAAAAATATAATTTATTTCCATTCAAGAAATGTTCCTAAGTATCGATGGGTTACTGTGTCTAAACGAGTTGCTCGGAAGAGGCCCGTTTACTCGTGTTATTCTGGATGGAGTCCCAACTACTGGGGAACTGAATGCACAATACGTATGTCGTATTATATTGTATTAAACATGCGTGCTCATGCATATTTATTGCTATTTATTCCCAATTTCTTTTGCATTCTGACAGCGATTTGCTCGGGAGGGTGCAAAAACGGAGGGACATGTATTTCTCCTAGCAATTGCCGCTGTACTTCAGGGTGGACTGGTTCAAGATGTCGAACTGGTGAGAAAGGATCATCGCTTATTTTTTCCAATTCATTTTTCACTTAACTTATTTTCGATGATAGCTATATTCTTGTAAGTATATATTAGCTTGTAGGTACACGACGAAAGTCACCATGCAAACAAACAAGAATAATATATTATTGTAGTTGAACAAGCTCATTTGTGTGTTTCTTATGCAACAATTAAGGTAGTTTCCCACAAAACAGAAGACCTAGTATCAACAATTTTCAGCTAAGACCCGCGAGCTGCTTGTTCTCCCCAATACAACTAATTAGTGGTATATCAATTGACACATGTATAATATTACTCTGTTGAAACAGCTGAGATTACTTCGCGTATTTTCTTGCTATGCTAGCTTCACGTTGCTTTTTCAATTTCAAATTTTTTGAAATTTGTAAATCTTCATTTGTGGTCCTAATTAACAATCAGTCGATCGTTGAAAGCAAGGTGATTACATATATTCATTGAGCAAAAGGCGAGGAAGAAAGCATTAGTTTCTGCTGAGCAATAGTAACTATTTACTCATAGTAACTCACATTGACTCAATATATACTGAAATTAAACTAATCGTTTTTATATATTTTTAACGAATATAGTTTCACAAATAGCTTCAACATCCCCAAAGATTTGATGGCAGCATGCACACTATGATATAAATCCTATAATTTCTTAAACATTTTGAATTTCAGACATAAACGAGTGCCAGACCAATAAGCATGGTTGCGGATACAAGCCCGGCTGCGTCAACACTAAGGGAAGCTATAGGTGTACATGTCGTGCAGGCTATTACTTGATGTCTGATAATCGTAATTGCAAAGGTAGAATGGAATGTTATACTGAAATAGTTGCACTAACCTCAGAAAATCTACACAATATAGCACGAAGTTGAAATATTTTTATTAAGATGATAGTAATATAAGGAATTAATATTTCATATAGCCCAGTTGCAAAAAGATCAAGCTTAGCTAGAACAACTACATGCATGCATTTCTATAACTGCTTTTAAACCCCGGCCAAGATCTTCCTGCATGGGATCGAGGTCTTTCTGCGAAAAGACCGATCCAATATTCCTCGGAAAAGATAGGGCAAGCAAGATTAACATGACTGTGTCATGTGTTTCAAAACAAGTCCATATAATGAGTAAAAATTCATTCAATTATAGATATTTATCCACTTTCTGTTTCAGATATAAATGAATGCATTTCTAATCCAAACAGTTGCGGAGCTAACACAAGATGTGTGAATAATCCAGGCAGTTACACATGTCCTTGCCTCAGCGGTTTTATTTACAACACAGGCTCAAGAAGATCATGCAAAGGTAGTTTATGAAGGGCATAATAAAAAAAAAAGTATTAAAAAGCTTGTTTAATTTCCAAACTGCCTTACAGTATATTAGGTATATTACCATTCGAAATGTTTCAGTGGCCAAAGCTTTTCAGAACTATTCATTTGCTGGAAGAAGAACCTGTACAAATCACCATTAGTACTATCTATAATTTAAATACAAATGTATGTATAAAGAAATTTCATTACACAACCTCACAAATCAGACTTGATATATTTCGCATGAATGCGCGGATATGAAATGTAATTGCATGATCTTTCTTATCATGTCTTCCCTCAAGATATAAATGATCTTCCTTTTCATGTCGGAGGATAGGATAATTTAAATATTCTAGACAATTTTTGAACGCTTGAAGAGGTTGTAAAAGGGTTAACAATGCTCAAATCTCATTCAGAAATGAGACCATTCACCATGTATATTTGCGTTTTCCAATTAGGTGCTCGCTAAAAAGATATTTATTTATTTATTTATTTGATTAGATATTAATGAATGCGATCCCGCTAGTGGCGTCGTCCATGGATGTCAAGGCACGTGTATTAATATGATCGGAACGTACAGATGCGACTGCTCGTCAGGACATTTTCTTGCATCCGATGGAAGGAGTTGCACAGGTTTGTTCAACCTACAGTGTGTCCAGAAATAGCCAAAGAAAAACCGCAGTAACCTACTAGGTATGACCGCGGTCGAACCGCGGTGAGACCGATGTTGCATGTACCTCGGTCGAACTCGATCTGACAGACATTTCTTAAGATGTTTTCGATTTGCTTATTGTGTTGTCGTTCTCAGTTGTTCATAACATCCCGTTCGGAAGCGAACGGCAACCACAACCGTATTTTTTCCCTTGCGGTCGTCAGTATATCGGTCGACCGCAATCGAACCGCAACCGCAGTGTTACGTTATTTCTGGACAGTACTGTATATCGTTTGCTGCTATACCCTAGTCAACCTATCAGGGTTCAATGTGATTCCAGCTCGCATAATTGCTTGCTTCATTTATTTGCATTTTCTAATGCTTATTCCGAACATTTCTTTTCTGTCTATTTATACATGTTACTATTTTTAGACCATGATGAGTGCGCTACTGACACTCATGGCTGTGAACAACTGTGCGTGAACTTTCCTGGTGGATACAACTGCTCTTGCTCGGCTGGTTATCGACTGGACAGAATAGACCAAAAATCGTGCAATGGTATCAATATTTGTCGATATTTCACTAACCGAGATGAAACTTATTTTTAGTTATATAATTCTCATGTGTTATAATTTTTTGTAAAAACGACTAACTGTAAATTAGTCATACATTCACCTCTTTTTCATTAATTGTAATTACTACGGTACTGTGTCTAAAGTGTATTTTTTTGGTTTTCGCATGCGCAGATGTAGATGAATGTTCCGAGAATACAGCTGGTTGTGCGCACAACTGCACCAATGAAGTTGGTAGTTTTAAATGCTCTTGTGAATTGGGATATCATCTTGGAACCGACGCAAAGTCTTGCAATGGTAAGTTTCTTCTAAAGAAATTATCATGTGGATTTGCAAGCAGCTTTGACTCGCTACTTGCTAGCAGCTTTAACTGTACAGGGTGTCTAAAAAAAAAACGCAACCACTTAAATATGCAAGAATATTTATATTGTTCGGGTTTGCACCATAGTTCAGCTAGCTAAAATGACTTTTAGCATTTTGAATGAAGGATTAAGAGCCATTTTCAATTCCCAGAGGTGCTTATCTATTGCGCTTTACAGGGTGTCCCAACACTTAATATTCATGAATATCCTCTTTGTTCTACAACACAAAAGACGTTTGGCCCCTGGAATGCGAGAAAGCTTGTAATCATACTCTAGCGGCACAATCGTCGGTAAGCAAAGTCGGGTGCGTAAACCAACGAGCTGAATTGAAAGTATTTAACGAGTAAAATTTTATTTACAATTTATTTTACAAGGTCGACAGTTAGCATTCAAGTTATCATGCACGACAATAAAAACTCGTTGTTCGGTTGTTAGCTGCACCATGGTTGCGGTTTTTTTGAGACACCCTGTACACATACGTCGCATTTTGGTCGCGCCGAGTGCAATTCAAACAATAGATAATGAGATGAAAAACCTCATTAAGCCTCATCAGCGAAGAGGCAAGCTTCGTTATCATCTCATTATCTATTGTTTGAATTGCGATGTTAAACCTAGGCCTAAGTGTAATTTCAACCATTCTGAAAATGCTCGAAAAGTTTGGGACCAATAATAATTAAAGAGGATCTTCGATTTAGGAATACTAAGATTTTATCACAGTTATAGCAAACAACAGGCGCTTTTAAAGCGATTGAAAAGACACTATCTGGTGCCTTCGGCTTTTATACCATGTCTCGAACAATAAATTCAGCTTTTTTACGACATTACCGCTCACGTCAGACGACTGCTCTGTAAAAAAACTGCTCTGTAAAAACAGATTGCTAAATCATACAATTAATTCCAAATTAGTTATCTCAGATTTAAGCTAATAAACAGTGCGTCGACATTGAAAAAATTTTGCCGTAAAAAAGAATCTGCCGCAATATAAAAGCGTAATTTCACAGGGAGTGAATTTTTCATCGCTGTTTCAATGCCTTATTTATTATCTTATGCCTTTATTAAGACGTAAATGAATGCTCTAGTGGTCTTCATCATTGTCAACACAACTGTATTAATACACCAGGAAGTTACAAATGCAGTTGTAGATCCGGATTTGACTTGTTACAAAATGGTGGTGATTGTGCAGGTATATACATGTAATGTCACACTGCAGGGTCTCATTTTGTTTACCTTATAACGTTTCGTATTTTGTACATGCGTATTAGTGTCGAGTTATTTATCTTGAAAAATGAAATAAGCCTCAAAGATTTCTGCACTAAAAATTATTTTCCCCAGGTCGGCCATGTATTCCGATTTTCAATCCATTAAATGGTGTCAAGAATTGCTCGGGCTACACGACAGAGAAAGTGTGTCATTTTGAATGTTCTCCCGGGTATGATCTTGTCGGTTCAAGTAACAGAACTTGTACAGACCTGAAATCATGGACGGGGGAAGACACAAAATGTGAAAGTGAGTGAACGATACATTCTCGCAATATTTTATGTAAAAATTTTAATTATTTGCTGACGTTCCATACAATAATATTATACTCAGATGCCATTTTGAAATTTTATTATGTGGAATGTAGCTATGATGATTAGAGTGCCCAATGAGACTGTATGCAGCACCTTGGTTGTTGATATTCAAAGCATTTAATTTATTGGAATTCGAGTCTGATTGAACAAATGTCGGCAAGAAATTCGGTTAATCGACGAACCTTCTTTCGATCTCGACTGAAATTACGAAAATGTGGAAATATAAATCATGTTATAATGTTAGTGAAGAGTGACTGTAATAAGAGAGAGATTTAAGATCATTTTGCTTATAATTCTTAACATGTTTTTACTACATTTCAGTTATCCACTGTCCCACCCCTGCCAAACCATCGAATGGCTTCATTTACTCACCTTGCAACACTTATTTCGCTTCGCAATGTACTGTGGGCTGTTCAAGTGGTTATTACATTGATAGAACCGTCAAGATTGCCTGCGATGCTCACCGAGTCTGGCAACCGGGAAATATTACATGTAATGGTAAGGATCTGTAGTCAATAGCATTGAGAAACGTCTCAGACTACGTTACACATTGGTCCAGAGACGGAAAAAGATCAAATAATGGCCCAAAAAAATATAAAGTCAATAAACGACAACCCAATCTCGTACTCAGGACCTTCTCGTATTTGGGAGAAGGCCCTGGAAAGACTGCCCACATGACTTTAAATTTTTTTGGAGTATTCGGTCAACCTAGTACCCGATAACTCCAAAAAATTCACGTGGGCAGCCTTTTCCAGGGCCTACGAGAAGGCCCTGGGTAGAAGGTTGACGACAACCATAGACAGAAATGTTGGCCGGTATGGATGCCATGGTGTCCCGTATACGAAATTATGGGGAAATTATTAAAAATTTCCTTCTATGTAACCCGCAATTAAGAAGTTATGTTTGTCCACGTCCAAAACTGAGGACAAGTCGAGATGCCCAAGTGTGTTCACGAGAAAGAATATTTTTACGATTGAAATTGCATAATAAAGTATATATTTCTACTCGTTTTTGGCAGGCATCGTTAAATGTCCACTCAGTGCTGGTTCGTAAAAGCTCTCGTTTTATTTACATCGCATTTCAGAAACTTAAAATGACGCTTAAATATGTCCCCCAACGCGATGGAATACATCAATTTCGTAGAGCAATTTTTTAACGCCATTATTTTCTAGCTTTTAGCTGTTGCCATGATACAAGCGACACTGATCTAAATGATGAACTTAAAACTGAGCTGCATGAGGCCACACACATCACCGCTTACCGGCCTGCATTTCTGGCCATGGCGAGGTCTTGGCAAATTCACGTGCTAAGACTCTAAAACTGTAATCTCAAACTTGGTATTTTGTCTGTGCCGCATGCACGTATCATTATAATTTATTTTGTCAAATTTGACACACCACTAACTAATTCCTAACATCGTATTTATCACCCTCTTTAATTCTTAACCTAAAAAACCCGTTAGCGAGATTAAATTATTTTTATTTGAATTTGTGACATTTAGCCTAACAATGCTTCTGGTATATTACTTACACAGATTGACAGGTTTAATATGATTGTGATATGATGTATTTTAGAGATCGAAATATGTCGACCTAACCCTTGTCTCCATGGTGGAACATGCTCTGCAATTAGTTCCAAATATTATTCTTGTAACTGCACTCAGACTGGTTACATCGGAACAAAGTGCGACATTGGTTATATAACCATTCCTGATTATCCCACGTTAACACCTGGTGTTCCCTCACAGTATCTAACGTACAAAGTATCACCCCCGAGTGAAAACGTCGTTCTCACTCCAAAAAGCCGGGATATAGAATTTGAGCCTTCTAATCTTCTCTTCAAACACGGCACTCCATCCACACGTTCTTTAAGACTGACTGCAAGAAAACCAGGTGTACATTTTATCCGATACTCGTTATCGGGTCCAAGTGCGGGTTATTTTAAATCTCCTGACGAGAGTGTTGTTTTAGTAAAATCCTCAGAGCAACTAACGTTTGACAAAGAAACGGTGCCAAACGCTATTCCTTCTGGCTGCTACAAGCAACAGGTTGACAAGTGTCCTCGGTCCAATGATGCTATTTACGCTTCCTCGACTTCCCCATGGGTCACGTTTGGTCCGATGGCAATGACAAGTGGCGTGGTCAACTTAATGGTTGGAGCTACCACCATACCCCTGTCGTTACTTGGAACCAACTTAATTAAGCCCAGTCACATCTCAAGCCAGAAGGATTGCGATGATGACAATCAAGTCAGTTACTCAACCGAGCAGTTAATTACAGAGCGTCTGCTGGAGAAGACGTTTCTCAATAAAGTTAGCAACAGCCTCCCTAAATGGCTTCAGATTACGCTACCTAACAATTCGGTATCGACAGCATGGTCTCCCTCGGAACTTCAGACATATTACGTATCTGGAAAGAATTTGAGGACTGCCTACATTGGCGAAGGCCAACCAATAGATGACGGAACTTATTATTCGCTTTTAAACTCTCAGAACCTGAACCTCTCTGTGGATAATGACGTTGATCTTTTACTATCAGGTGACAATAAAGCACCACTGTCAATAGCTATGGAACTATGCGGTCCGTTGCCAAGGAACGTCATCCTCCGACCGTCACTAAGAGATGGCAATTTAATAAACGACGTGTCACTCACTAGAAAGTTGGAAGAAAATGGCTGGGATATAAAGTTTTACTCTTTGCAGATATCGAAGAGCAAAACAATTGATATGATTAGAAAACGGTCTTTATGGAATAGTAAACGTTTCTTCAATATCGAGTCTTCCCAGCGTGGTAACCTAGCCATAGTTTTGTCGCTTAAAAAAGAGCTCAGAAGTCTGGGTTTCGTCAACTCAAGTTTGGAGTTCGAAGGAACTGCCGTAGCTGACCTTGATGACATAGATAATGTATGTACTCAAATATTAGTGTTCTGCTTTGGGTGCGTGTAATTTCTAGTTTTCACGGTTAGAATAACTGTTGAAAAACAGAAATTCCATGAAGAATAATAAAGACTGAGATAAGTGATGTATTTTTCTGTTTCCATTTCAGATTTCAGATTCTCCTTTTGGCAAGGAATGGAAGCTGGATCTGTACGGGAAAATCACAGTGGGATCGAAATTCAAAATAAAGGGCAAAGTGACGAATATGATTTTAGAAGCATCTGAGTCCATTAGTTATGCCAGGTTTGGAGGTAAGGGAAAAAATGTATACGGAGTGATTTCAAACAATGATTGACGGAATAACTAAGCAAATAAAACATGGAATGTAACGCAAATAACAATTCATAATTTTATTTGTTGAATTTAGGAAAAAAGCGAATTTCCCAAAGCCAAAAGGCCGACGATGATTTACAAGGACTTTTCTTTACCAACGAAATCAAACAAAACCCTTTTATTGGAACAGAATTGAGCCCTTTCGTCGAAGTTGGCACGAACAAAACATTCTCGTATTTCCTTGACGCTATGATCTACGAAAATGAATCTTCGTACGAAGAAATAAGTAACGGAATCAGTATGTCTTTTAACGGAAATCTAAAATATGGCCCTATTAGGTTTGAAAGCCTGCACATTGAGTTATCCATTGGGGATTTAAGCTGCTCCAACTCCATGAAAAGCTGCTCCAACTCCACGAAGACTGTTGGTGCGGTGTTTACCGGTGATAATTACAGCAAAAAAGGGAAAACAAAATTTGGAATTTTTCGCGTTTCAGGGAATAAACCTCTCAGTCTTCTAATTGCTGTTGCCAGAAATAAGAATTCCAGTTCTTTAGGTTCTTTCCAAGCGATCACAAAAATTCTTGGATTTGAAAAGTTGGTTAATGTTACTTTCTTTGAGAAAGGTTTGGCATTCCGCGTTGATGGTAAAATTCATGGATTGTTCGACGCAAACATGAGTTGCGAGTCACGCTTAGCCACATGGGAAAACCAAATATTCATTGTTGACGGTGTTTTTGAGGACAGGTTAACACAAACTGGGCTAAAGCATTCTCTTAGTCTCGAAATGGATCGATATGCCGTACGTGTCTTTAGAAAAGCGATGAAAAGGGTGAGATCCATCAATGAAACGGAACAAAGAGCAAAACGTCGGCTAGAAAAGGTTATGACTTTTGAAAAACTGGCATCTGAAACTACGCAGCGGGCTCGTGAGGAATACCAAGTATCCAGTCGCGGACTCAAGATTGCTGAACAAGAGTTGGCCTACCTTGAACGTGCTGCTAGTAACACTTCTGAAGAGTTGCAGGAATTAAAGTCAGCACTGGATAGGCTGTGTCCCGTCAAACATTGTCCAGATATTTGCCAAGAGGGAGTTAGTTGCACGAAGTGCTACCAAGACATAATCGGAAAAGCAATGGGAGTTTGCCCGGCAACCTGTTTCAATACGGTACAACGTAGACTTCCTCCGTTAACTGAAATCGTTCTGTGTGAAAGCCAGAAGTGTACACGGATTCACAGCACAAACGGTCTTTTTAAAAGACTTTTGGGAGAGACATTCGGTGGTATACTCAAAAGCGTAGTGTCATTTGGTATATCTGCTTTCGCCACATTTTTGGGAGCTCCGCCGCCGCTCTCGTCCGCTCTTGGAGATGGGATTGTGCAATTGCTCGATACCGGACGCATTGACGAGACCTTATGTTCGGTGGCTAAGGGCGCGATTACGAGTTTTATTGGCGGCCCAGGTGTTAAAAAAGTATTCCAGCAGTATTCAAAAACAAGTTTGCGTGAAGGAGTCAAGCATGGCGCTATCGCTTTGGGTAGAACTGGAGTCAGTAAAGTTGTGAGCAAAGCAATATCGTGCCAAAGGGAACAGCGAGATGGACACTGGAAATGTCACGTCGTAGCAGTCCAGTGTAACAAGGACAGATTCCAATATGAGTACGAGCACACACCTTACATCTGCAAGCAGTCGTGTGAGAAAGACACGGTAACTAAGACGATCGAAAAAAGCTGTTGCTCGACGGTACCTTGTGCTTCGCTTATTGTCAACCTCACTTGTGTTGCCGAAAACGTTCTCTGTAAGAAAGTGAGAGAGGCAGCAATGGAACAGTTCTCGAAGACCAAAACCAAGACAGTGCAAATCCTCAAGAGCTTAGAGAACGCAAGAGAGAATGTCTCGTACTGGACTATGAAGAAAAGGAAGGATTACATTAAATTCATAGCCGCAGAACGTTCGCTGAATACGTCACGGAATGCTGTTTACAGCTTGCGGAAAGCTTATAATGTTTCAGTCGAAACCCGAGAAAAGAAGTTGAAACTTTTAGCGAGACCATTGCAGATAAGAAGTATCCTTGATGAGCATCTTACATATGTGGCTAAGGTAAAGTTGGAAACAATACGATTTAAGGTAAAAGTATCAGCAAGGTACCAAAGCAATCTCTTGCCGATCTTTATCACGTTCAAAATCAACGAAACTGAGAAGGAAATGTTTACTGTTCTTGACTTCTCTAACCTTAATGCATCTATGAGAAGTGTCGCAAAGGAAATTCTAAGTCATTTTGTTGGAGATCTCTCCAGCGTTTCACGAAGAAAACGCTCCGTGGAAGACACTGGGAATTCAGAATTGGAGAACAAGTTGTCAACCCTGAAAGATTACCACAAGCTATGCGCTGAGTTCCAGAACCACCAGCTACCACTGGAAGCCGTAGTGCGTTCGCTGTACGACCTATCTTCTGAAATGCGCAGCTTGCTTGAAAAGTCGAAAAGGGTGATTACAGCCAATGTCAACGTAACTGATGTGTTAACGAACCTCAACATCAACTTGACGCTCGCAACGGAAATGGGATTGGCGACAGACAATGGCTCGTACGTAAATGATCTCAACGCGGATCCCGAAATGACTGAAGCGGAGGAACTTCACCAGGAAGCTGCGCGCGATGGATACGAACCGCTTCAGGTAGCCACGAAGCTCCTAATCCATAACTGGTTTGTTACAATGGAGGATTTATTCAATGACTCCAGAATAGCAAAAGAGTGCAGTGGCTTTGACGATTGTTTGTTGTACATTCTAAACAGTTTATCCGATATCTACTCGGCTCTTGAACTTCCCGGAGCACAAAATGTTCGCGACCAAATAAAGGATATTGAAACGAAGATCACAAGCCTGACGCAAAACCTCGACTTGTCAGTTAACAGCGCTGTTGAACTTTCATCAGAAATTTTGGAAATTCTCGAGAACTTGACGAGTGGAAACAGCATATGCGGACTCGCACCAAATATCACGAAACATCCGGAGGCCTTCGTGGAGCTGGGCGAAGGTGAAACTCTCCAACTGACCTGCAATGCCACAGGTAGTTCTCTGACTTACAGATGGAGATATAATACTGAAATATTGCAAGATAAGTCGAGTGGCATTTTATCGATTGAAAATATAACAGCTTCGCACAGCGGTAACTACACATGTGAGGTGTCGAACCATATAGCCAAAGAAACGTCCATTCCTGCAAGAATCGTCGTCATTTCACCCCCTGTGATTGCTGTACAACCCGCAGAGTACCTCGGTGTTGTTTTGTTCAGTGATGATTCACTTGAGTGTCAAGCTCAAAATAATAATAGAAATATCTCGTATCAGTGGTGGTTTAAATCTCTAAACTCTTCCAACTTCTCCCCGTTGTTGAACGAAACCTTCCCCTACCTCAATTTTCTTTCGATGAGATCCACTGACGAAGGTTGGTATTTCTGCAACGTTTCTAATCGCTATGGCTTTACCATATCTTCAATAGCCCTTGTTAGGGCATTGCACTTTACCCTGCCAGTACCAGCTGCGTCGCTAATGGTGTCTATCGTACAGAGTTCCCGAGTTAACACAACATCGCCCGAAAAACTAGGCAACGACACTTACGACGCGATGAGTTCACTGATTTCCAAGCTGCTTTCGTCGCCAGGATACTTACACAGGAAGATGGTTCCGGAAGACCGCTTAAGAAATTTACACCCAATTGATTGCAGGATGCCACCGTCCTTTCGTAATAGGTCAGATCAAAATTTGGAGGTATGTTGGTGGAAATTTCATTACATAGGGGAAAACACCACCACAAACACGAGTGTTAGCGAAGGCCTCGCGACTAATGCCTGGAGGGTGATGAACGCAACTTTGGATATGAAACGTGCAATTAGTGAGTTGGTTAATGCAACCAACAATAGTTCTCTTTCGTTCTCGTTGGACAACCAAACGTATTTTGTTGAAGAAAATTCCTTAGCTGTTCAGGACGTTTTGCTGTTGTGTCCACGAGGCCAAACTCTTGTTCAAGAAGACTTTAGTTGTGGTAAGAAAAATTTAAGGCCAGACTTTTTTTAGCTACTAAGTTATATCTGTTGTTTTAAACGTTTCTTTAGTTGCATTGTTATAATAGCAACTGCATGCAACTTCGAAGTCACTCTGTTGTTTCTCATTTGTCATATTCGAAAATAATTGTTAATAATATTTGTTAATATAGAGGAGAAATTCAAGCAGAATGATCATGATTCGTAATACACTAGCTGCATGCCTGGTTGAGTGTTCAAATTGTGCATGAAAATAATTTTTAATCGCTCAAAAATGAATTGAGTTATAAATATTCAGCGTATAGCAAAGTATAAGCTTAGAAAAATTACTTGATATCGTAAGCCCCGTTTGATAACGTAATCCCTGGCATTAGATCTGTAATAAGCGATTGCTATGAATTTCTTTGAGCACTAAAATACTTTTCATGACAGGCCTGTTTTCTGCATATAAGGTGCACTTCCTCATGATATTTTAGTATAATCAACAGCTATAATAAGACAGTTGTGAATGCGTGACCAACTCGAAAGAAACCTTGCAAGCTCATCTATTTTCGCAGAATTTATTACATTTTTATTTAACAGCCGATTGCCCAGCTGGATATCAAGGCGATTTGGATAAAGACTTAAAAGCAAGTTGTGTTCCATGCGCTCTGGGTTCATACCAATCACATTCTGGGCAAACATCGTGCACGGAATGCTCCGAAGGATTCACCACTGAGCATGAAGGGTCTTATGACGCAGGACACTGCACAGGTAGGGCGTTAGCTAGTGAGGTATTCCACGATATGAAAGTATAAACAAAATGAGTCGAAACATAAATCTTTAGGTTCACCCCAAGCACATTTCATTGCGCATTCTTCCCCATTTCTTGATACAAGAAAATTGAAAGGAAGTTTAACTAAGGGGCTGTTCGCACGAGCCCGGTTACCGAGATTTAATGAAGCATAAAATAGTCGTGTATAGTCACCCTAATAATAGCATGTGATTCTTTTGTTTCAAAAAGACGTTTTTCAATGAACAACTCCTAATTACATCCTGAATTGGGTGGCTCTAATTTAGTCCGGTCATGACCTAACAGACCTTATTGACACAAATGTAAAGGATAAGGTTTATATCATGCCTCCGGTAATAGAAGTTCATTTCATCGGCAGACGTTTTAGGTACAAGTCGTGCCTGTCATGGTGCGAGGCATAAAATGCGCATGTTTATTTCGACTTGTTCACAAAGTCGAAGTGTAAGAAATATGTGAGGAGAACAAGGCTTACCTTTCCATCCGTCTTTGATATTCTCTCACTAAATTTGTATAATGTTTTCCACAAGCTCGGCTTACAGAGCAGTGTTCAAACATTAAAAAAAGAGACAAAATAAAAAGTACAATGAATGGCAAACCGGTTCCAGATGTTATTGAAATGTAAGACAACAAACAGTGATATCTGCCATATTTATTGACATCTTGGGAGCTGCATGTTTAGACACGAACGTTTCCTTGCCCACACGTCTTTTTGGTCAGAACATATGAACAACCCAATATATAATTGGCATCCAAAAATACTCGACTGTTCTGTAATTTAAAATAATTTCAAATGCCATTAATAAAACAGATTCTTCTCGTAGCCCGATTGAAGACCTATTCCTGGTTATGCTAATTATTCATTGCGAAAACAATAAATTTCTAAAGAAATGAACAATTACGATGATTTCAAATTTGGATTAATTAATTGGCAAAATTAAACCGTCTGACTAGCTACACCGCTACGCTTGACATGTACCGTATTTACTCGATTGAGCACCACCCCCGATTGAGCGCCGCATTTGCGGGTTTTTATCTCAAAGAGCGCCGCTCCCTTTAAATTCGGCGCTTAATCGACGCACCGTGACGCTTGAAGACGCTATTATTAAATCGGTCTTTAGAATTCTCGTAAGGTGCAGGGCAGTCGTGAAGGCAGAGATTCCAGTGATCTGTGCGAAGAATTTATGCCAAAATGCTCGCTGTCAAAATGGGGGCATTTGGCTGCATCTAAATTTCAATTATTTTTGTTTAAAGTTCTTGTTACAATCGGACGCCGCCCCCGATTGAGCGCCGCCCTCGATTAAGTACCGCATCTGAAGTTCTAAAAGTTTAAAGAGCGCCGCGGCGCTCAAACCGCTCAAGCAAGTAATACGGTATGACATTATGCAATGTGAGTAGACACTTGCCCGAATTTGTATGGGATGGTTTTCATTGCCCGAGAACAAATTCAGGAAGTGTCTATTGCTATGAGTAGTATAGTGTCCCATTTTTTTCTTAACCCAAGTTCGGTAGTCATCTTGGATTCGTCATCCACGCGTGCGCCCGCATATTATTACAACAACCCCTGACTGTATTTGATTTCTGGAGTCACTTTGTTAAACTGTTTCCGTAAATATTTTAAATTCCATTTCGAATCGAACCGTTCTCTCTATTAATTTTTTACATCCTTTTTAATTTTCAGTGATATGCCCTGCAGGGCACTATGGCCTTATTATTAACCAAACAATTGCGCAATGTTTAATGTGTCCTGAAGGCACATACCAGCCGCTGGAAGGTCAGTTTAAGTGCCTGTCCTGCCCGTCTGGTTATATCACGGCCGAACGCGGAACACAAGACATCGCAAATTGCATTTTAGGTAAGCCTGCTTATATATCTACATACAAGGTAGGAACTCCTCTCGTGAAAATGTTTTGGTTGACCGCATAGGCAACGTTGAGCTAGTAATCAATGCAACTCGTGCAAGGCAGAAGTTGAACCAATTTAAACCATGCAGAGCTTATTCCTAGGAAGCGATATTCAAAGACATTAGTGTAAATTTTGCTTTCTTATATGCTAGAAACTACGCCAAAACCGAAAGATAAACCCACCGCAGAGAGCAAGACTACAGAGAGCATAACAGACGAACAGACGGTTATAGTTTCAACCGACAAGACAAACGTTTCATTGACAAAAGAAGAACTGCAAACAGATAATGGAGGTGTAAATGGTTCTTTGATCGCCGGGATTGTCGTCGGCGTAGTCGTTTTAATTATAGGTAAAATACGTTGCGTAACTACCGCTAATTCCTGCATGGTATTCTTGCACGCGCGAGCATGTACCCTTAACAACAAAAAAGTGATTTCAATAGAGTGTACTTTTTTGACACACTTTTTTGGGCTATGTTTCCTCATTTTACAACATTCCGCACGAAATTTTGTAGTTAAATTTTACTGCGCTCTTTTCAGCTTTGGTGAAGTGATTCCATTTTCACGCGTTGATAAAAAAGCATTCTATAATGCAAAAGGTCTATTTTTAAACGCACTTAATCTACTAAGCTCGTATAAATATTCACCGCTGTTTATCTTGAAACATTTATATTTTTCTCAGGATTTCTGGTATTCTTCGTCTACCGAAGGCGCAAAGAGAAAAGCAAAATGAACGGAGAAGTTACAGAAAAAGTCGAAAACGAGACCAAGTCAACGGAAGGAAGCACCTCTTGGAAAAACCCTATCTACTCAGATGCGGATGACTTCGATCTTCGAAAGAGGCTGCAGTCAATCCAACATACGAACCCGCGTGTTTTGATCTGCCCTCTCGTTGCGACAAACCTGCGACAACAGCATCACAGTGTGGAATGACCGTGTTTAGTAATCCCGGTGCCAAAGACGAAGAAGAAGTGTGCCATAATTTCGAACCAGCGCCACTTGCGTTTAGTAATCGCCTCTTTGCAGACGTTGATCGTCAAGTTGAGTTAAAAACTGCACGTATAGTTCGTGCTCCTGACAGTGAGTTTGGTGACGAAGAGGTTTAGGGATGAGAAACTTGTTAAACAAGGAACCATTTCTTCTTTTCTTATATTGTATGTACCTCTGAGATAGTTAAAAATCTACTCCAAATAATCAAATCCCTAAGTTAATTTCATGCATATATACAGTACTGTTCAGAAATAACCTAACAAAAACAGCGGTTAACCTAGGTCAAACCTCGGTCTGATCGCGGTTGAACCGAGGTCAGACCAAGATCGAACCGCGGTGAGACGGAGGTTTAACCTCGGCCTAACTCAGTCTGATGATGTTTTCGATATGATTGTTGTGTTGTCGTTCTGAGCTGTTCATAATATTCCATTTGGAAGCGAACGGCAACCGCGATCGTATTCTTCCCCTTGCGGTCATCTCCGGTTTCTATCAGTCGACCGCAACCGAACCGCGACCGAACGGCAACCGAACCGCGACCGAACGGCAACCTAACCCCAGCCGAACCGCAACCTAACCCCAGCCGAACCGCAACCTAACCCCTGCCGAACCGCAACCGCAGTGTTAGGTTATTTCCGGACAGTACTGTACCTATAATAGCTAATGTAGCCTTCCCCTGCGATTCTTTCGTCCTGTTGTAATGATATTTTTTATACTTTTACTTTTATTTTGTCTGAATATAGTTTTCCAGCTTTTTTACCATTTTAAAGATGAAAGAGACGTGTGTGACATAATTATGAACATTTTCAAGCGCAACTTACTTTTAGTTCCTTTACCTTTAGTTTAATTCCTTTAATAATCTTTGATTGTCACGTTGATTCGAAAAGTGCATGCGTAATTTGTATTTCTGACTTCGAGTAGGTGCAGTGCGTATAACCAGCCTGATTTGTCGCGCTATGCTAATATTCTGTTGTTCATTGACTGCAAAAACAATAAATTTCTCAAAGACATGAATAATTATAATAACTCGAAATTTACAAAGAGGGAATTTACAAAATCGTCAGGCCGGCTGGCTACGCCACTGGCAGTGAACTCTTATAAAAAGTTTAGCATGCACGGCAACTTTGGCCGCCATATTTGAAGAGAAATTGAAGGCTGCCATGAAGGCCAGAAATTACACCACGAAAACAACGACGCCGGTTTTTATACACAAACCCATCTCGTCGGAGCAAGAATAGACACTTAAAACAACCAACATTTCAATAAAAAACAGGTTTCGTGAACGTGGAAATGTTCATTCGTTCTTACCGAATTTCTCACTTCTCGATTATCTCCGCAGTTCTTTCGAAGGCGTGTTTGGCTTGCTCGGGTCCCACCACATTCAGTAAATTATATTCAAATCGGCTTTATTCACTGACTGGACTATTATGAAGTTATCGTTCCAGTTTTATTAGATTTCACTGGTTTGGTGACGAAGAAACGTCTTAAACAAGAAGCCTTTTCTAAAATTCATGTACCTCTGAGATTTTCATTTGATGATTTGTACAAAATTATGTAAATATATGATAGAACTGATGATGAATATACGATAAGATAACGGAAATAGAGCTTTTTAGCAAAAAAAGTTACTTGTCATTTTTTACTTGTTTTTCCCTGGATTAGAAGGAGAATCCCTATAGCTTTACATTTAGTTTCATGTTGACTGATGTATCATACGAGATGTCAATGCTCTTAAATTATCGATTTTTTATAGTTAAGAATGCAGGGTCACTGCTCGATATTATCTCATGAAAGAAGGATTGGTTATGATTTTTCTCTGAGTTCAAATGATTCAAATTCAAATGAGTTCAAATGACACTTAATAAGTTCAAAGGGAAAATGCGGACGTAAGACTAAAAATATTCGATACGCAAGTGCATGCATATATATACAAAATACGTATATAATCAGAAGTCTAACTAGAGATTGTTTTGTATACTCAAATTTTCCAACTAATGGCCTTTAATTGATATGAATTAATTAATGTTTTTTAAACGAATTTTCATACCCGCGAATGCGAAAACATTAGACTAGTGAAATAGGTCACACGCATTGACATGCATGTATATATTTATACATGGACTGCCTACGTAATGACAATTGACAAATATCACGCAACAAGCAACTCCTAGCAAGATAGCTAATTTGTAGATGGATTAATTTGTTAACCTATGATCATGTGTTAAATAATTCAATTTTGAACTAAAAAAACGTGCAAGTAGAAAGCAGCCGTATAGTACAATAAAAATTGTCCATTTTTTATATTTTATTTTAGCAAATTTCTATATAGTTTTGTCTAGCAGTTCGTTTTTAGAATTATTTACACCAAACTGGATAAATCCAATAAACATGCGGACAATATCGAAACACGCTATCTTTTTTACTATGTTGTGTTTATAGACTTTTCAAATGAGCGTAAATCGATTATATTTTGGCACTTCAGTAGATATATGTAAATTCTAGAGGTTTAACTTACAGGTCTTAATTTCGGGCATTGCATTTGCATCGGCATCATTTCCTGGCTTGAATTTGAAGTGTGTATGATTCCACTCGAAATTAAGACCCTTCAAACCTCTAGAATTTTCAAATGAGTGTTCAGTTCAGTATATATATATATACTCATAAATATACATATATGGTATAGACTACTAGGATATGTTAAAAACTATTACATGTGTGCTAAATATATAAAACCGTTTCTAATGTGCACACAGAAGTAATATTTAGCGCGAAAAATAACGTCAACAGCAGGTGCATGTAGTCTTATTAGCATTTCTGCCTAAAGAGTATAGCTAAGTATATTCAGTTACTTTTGTAAATGTAATAATTTCACTTTCATGGCTGATAACATAGGCATAATTATCGAAACACATAAGTTGGTATACAAGTGAAAACTTCGGGAGAAAAAATTCTGATTTAAATCTCAAGTTTGCTCCGCGCGCAAAAATCTGCCAATAGTGGAAAACAGACGTTAGAATTATCAGACATCTTAGTTGATCATCACGCAGCTGCATGTTTTGAATTCATGTGCTGTTTGACTGAACACTCTATATTTGTTACATAAAATTATTATTACATGCACTTGCATGATTTCACAGCAGCAAACATCGAAAAGCAATTGCCCTTGATCACGTTTATTCAGTTCCCGCTGGGTAAAGCTTGAAGCTTCTAAAAAGTTTTATTAACGTTTTTCTGTAATTTTTTAGACGCCAGGCATACATAAACGGGTTGACCGAAAAGTTAACGTAAGTTAATGTAATGAGCCATACGTGGTAAGGATCTTTTACGAGCTCACTTTCTTGGATATCCAAATGTTCGTCTATAATAATGTAACCTTCGCCCATGATTGATTCGTAGATTATATTCGGAACCAACGTGATTATTGTAAGCAGAGACACTAAGAACATGGTTGCCGTCAACCGTTTTTGATTCACTAAGCGAACGTGTTTCTTTTCAGCATTAGTTGTCGACGAGACGCCGGATAAACGTTTCAAATGCTTTGAATTTTTTTTTAAAACATATGCTGCCCTGCTGTACATTATTGCTGCAGTAAAAATCGTAATGAAACCGATAATTGACCTTAAATAGGTCACCCAAAACGCGTTCGCGAACAAAATTTCCAATGACAAAAGTGCAATAGAAATTAGCCATTGCAGAAAAATTATGAAAACTGTAACTTTTCTGGTGATTAGAACCCGGTATTTCATTGGATGGACACAGCTCATATAGCGGTCGAAAGCCATCGCGAGAATAGACGCGCTGGAAACATACGGTGGCAAATACATCAGTCGGTAGAGCTCAAATTCCTTGGTGCATGGTCGCCAATACTGAATTAAAATGCCCGATGCACATGTTAAAATGTCGCTGATCGAAAGGTTTACGATCAAGTAGGACGCACAATTTTTGAAACACTTCAAGGGATCTATCATTATCCCAGCGAGAAGTAGAGCGTTCACTAGTAGTCCAGTTAGTACTATTCCAAAGCGAGGGATGATATCGTAACTTTGAGAGGGGATCCAACGGAACCAACATGTTGTTCCTGTAACATTCAGCATTCTATAAAACTTGCACCATAGACAAACCGATCGTAAACGCTTTTATGAATCAATAAAGCCATCGAATATGATAAATGATTCATGATTGTTTAATACACTAGGTTGCTAGTCTATTATTGCTATGGACGCAATCTAAAAAATGAATGCATCATTAATGATGAACCACTTGCATAATGGACAAAGTTTTGATTCGGGCAACAAGAAGGGAATTTCTGAAAAGGGCATGCAAAACTTAGTACGATTGCGAAGTTTGGCTGCTAAATACCGAAAATATAGCCAAGCGAAGCTGGCAAATTTTAAATACTTTTGTTTAATTATGGCCGGAAGTTTGTAATTAATTTAGTTACACACTTCCGCCTGTAGTAAAAAAATATACAAAAATCGCCTACTTCGCATAGCTACATTTTCCGTATAGCTACTAATTGATATTTTGCAGCCAAACTTGGCAGTCATGATAGTTTCGGTGTGCTCTTTTTAGCTGTGGTGATTAATTTCTATCTTGTTACCTAGATCATGCATAAGTTGTTATAGTGGTCCATTAAAATAATTCCCTTAAGTACCTATAAGTTGTATTTTATTATAGTTGCCTTTCGCTTTCAAACTGAATTTTTGTCATCTATGTTTAATGGTTATACAGCATGCTCTTGGTATATATGTTGCTTATACCGGCCAACTTGTGCAAAGTTTCATAATTTATATGATTTCTCTATGAAATGTGAAACTTAAAGCAACTGACTGTTCAATAATAATTTCAACTTCGCGAGAAAACAGTAAGACCCCGGTTGTCGGTATACACACATTTTTTGGCTCTTTAATTCAAAATTATTTCTTTTTAACGACATGCACGTGCAT